GGAGTGGGGGTCGCAAAATGTCGATTTATTATTAATAAACCCCAATGATCCAATCGAAATTATGGATTTCGATCAGATCATTGGGGGGCACGTGCCACCCCCCTCCTCCCCCACAGAGCCAGTGGGATGAAGGGTTCCCTACACCGTCACCATCTCTTGTGCCCTCGTGATGCAGCAATCCATGGAGCTCCTGCACACGAGCCAATTTCATCACTCCATCTCCTCGAAGGCCACACTGGAGGATGCGTGCCGTTATATTCTTGAGTATCACCCCTTCGAATGGCATCCCCTCTGATGGCCTCGTTTGCCCATGCCCACTTTTCTTAATAGTTTGGATGGTACAATTCCATATATATTTTAACACAAAAAATATGGCTTATATTTTAACACGAAAAATAAAGCTTAGATGTTAAACGAGATGCTGCTGTGGTGTATTGGCAAGCACACTGGACTGAATCCAGAGCTCATCGGTTCGAGCCCCCGGCACGACAGTTGCAACAACGGGGCACGTTTCTGAAATCTCGGTGCCTGTCCACGCACCACTATGAATGGGAGACACCGCAGAAATCTCGGTGCCTGTCCACGCACCACTATGAATGGGAAACACCGCAGTTCGTTGATCGGCAGCTCGTGTGTGCAATGGGATGAAGTGTGGGTACACCCACTTCTTCCAAGATATCTGCCAAGCTTGAGAGAATAGGTGGGAATACCCTCTAGATGGGCTCTAGAGATCCCACTAGTGGGGGCCCTTGTCGCAACATTGGCATGAGCAAGCACGTGCAGGGCCGCGTCTTTACCTGTTACATGTACATTTCAAACAGGCAAACTGCAGACGCAGCTGAGCAGTGGGTCTCTCTTCCACAGTTTTCAGTGGAAGTGAAATTCTTTCTTTTCTTTCCTTGATAAGAAGTTGACGGGGGGGGGGGGTGGTTTTCATCATAAGCTATGTTGGGGAATAAAATACAAAACATTTGTCTTGCTATCTTGACACACTTCCTGTGCGGTAGCAGCACAATTATCTACAAGGACACTCACTGAGGCTGTGAAGCCGACTTTGACAATGCAATACTTAGACATCGGCTCTTATATAATGATATAGTCGAAAGGACATACACACAGATATACGGTTTATAGTGTTTCTGCAGGCACACTCGAAGGCATGCAAATGACGCCGCGTGACTTCAGTGATATTGTGCTACTGACAACTGCTAAGCGTAACGACGAATCAATAATTAAAACAAAACTCAACACATTAATCAATAACACTGTGGCCTTAAAAATTAAAATATTGTAATAGGTGACGTTTGGGAAAGTAGGCCCTCATTCAAGGGCCACTTCGCCAAAATGAACAATTAAGCTCATTACACGGTGTAATTTTGACACTCCCCTCCTTAAGTTCGGTCGTGAGACTAATAATAGGTAATCTTTGGCTCACAGTAAATAACTACAGATTGGCCCAGTGATTCACATCAATCACAGCGACGCTTTAAACGGTGCCACCCCATCTTATGACAGCAATTGGCGCCGCAATGCCGAAATCCTGCATCTGGCCAAGCAGTAAATAGGCAATGAATAATGCATGGGACGCGCCAGTGACGCAGGTTAAAGAGCGATGCGTTTGCCCGTGATTAATGAGCGGGCGTGTGGAGCATACACTCATTTCACTTAAGGGTGCCCGAGGGCCACACGCTGCGACGCTTTGAATACAAAACATTTTGCTCATCCACCGCAGGTGTGCCGAGCAGCCTGCATTGCTTTTAGACGTTAAAAAGGCCGAGGGTTATAGGTCAAGCAGCCCTGCGGTGGCTTCTCCCGTGCCACCGCTGCCACCTGAAGGTGCCTTGATAGCCACTCCAGAGGGAGATGGTAAAACAGGACGATCTGCAGGGTGAGTTGGCCTACTCGTTCATGCTGGACCGTCTTGGAAGAGGTCGGCTAACTCATTTACACGGTCGGGTGGACAGAGGTGAAGGTATTTCGGAAATGTGCCCCACAATTTAAACTTGCTGCTTGGGAGGAGATCGAACCGAGATGACCCGCTGGGTTAAAAGTCCATTGCACAGACCATGGTTGCTGTCACAGCACCATCCCCGAAAACACGAAAACCAGTTTCACCTTAATTAACACGGTAAAGCGCCACTTAGAGTGGGCACGTTGCTCCTCGTGATGACTGTTTTACCCACGTGCAGACGTCACTGCCAGGCCAGCGTCCCATTTGTTTGACCCACAGATCATTGAAAAACCCACCGAGTCAGATTATTCTATTACGGCTGTAACATGTCAAGGAAAACCACATTATATAACATTTGCTGGGTGAGGCCCGATTCCATTTTACTTATGGTACAAGTACAGTACAACGCTTCTTATTCATGACCCTATTATCCCCGACTAGAATGATCTGCTGGAGCTGTAATGTCAGCAAAACTCCAGCTATCCACGGCCTGATTCTTCCTATTAGCTGGAGTTTACCTGTCCTGCACTGCGGCTTGCCTATTGTATACAAGTTGGCGAGATGATGATATCTGCCTCACCTGGTATGCAGGAGTGCGTGGGTTCAATCCCGACCCTGACGCATGTATATTTGGAGTTTGCATGTTCTCCCCGTGGTCGCGTGGATTTGTCTCCTGATCATCCGGTTTTTCCCCTCCACATATAGAATCAATGTGTGTTTAGAGTATTTGGCTACTATATATTTCCACGTGATAAGCCACTTCGTTGAGCTATCATCAGTGGCCAGGTTGCTTCTGAAAAAAAGTTAATACCTCAGTGGACTTTGCCTGGTAGGATGGTTTAGTTTTAGTTTCTATGTGTTGGGGTGATTTGTTTACCTGTCCTGTATTTTGCACTCCTATCGTGTTTTTGTAACTGGTGTAACCTTCTTTCCCGCACCCCTACTGGACATCTGAGAAAAAGAGCTTTAGAGCTCAGCGGATTCCCCCTGCAGTATAAAGAAATATTCTGATTCTGACATTTTTTAGAAGTATACTATACGGAGAGCTACTGTACCAAAATGTTTACCATGCAGAGGCTACTGTCCCAAAATAAGATTAAATAACAATAAGACACCTTAATTGATCTTCACATGTTACATCTCAGGATCGCGAGAGACGGTGACGGCTTGGGAAAGATTTTCATCCAGCTGTGGATTGACCGTGGCTAATTGCGATTCAATCTTCGCAAGGGTCATCTTTTGATGCCCTCCAATTAGGAGTGTGCCGAGACTCCACCAACTGTGCACTGCATTCTCACCAAATGAGGCCGATCGAATGTCTCCCCTCCAGTGACTATTTGAGTCGTTTAAGGCAGGGGTTTGTACAAACACACAGAGCACCTCCCTAACGCAGCACCGGCATGCGGAATATCAGACTGGCTTTAGGCTCGCACGAGCTGGGAAGAGAACATTGTTGGTTTGAATGCGGCACCTAACTAACCCCATTGTGCGCTCTGCCGACAAAATTGCACCCTGCCAGTGCTTCACAGCGATCTGCACGAGGAACTGTGCAAGGCACTCGACCGTCTACGGAGTGAAACTCCCGAATGCCGTTGCCTAGGTGGGCAGCCCTGAGTGAGGGCTCAAGATCTAGGGGGAAGTGTGCACACGGTATACATACCGGACGGTGAAAATATTTTCGGAGAAAACATGTATTATGCACACGTACGTATGCTCCTTTATTTTATGGGTAATCCTCAACCACATCTGCACCAAACATGTCAGCGGGTGCGGATACTTGATGCACAAATGGAAATTAAATAACAAATCAACTCCCCGGTGTGCGGTGACTGTGGTCACTCAGAACAGAACCCTGGAACATATCACGACTCATCGCCCGAATTCACAAAATACGTAGGAGGCATCGTCGCAGCTACCGACTCGACTGCTATACTGACGAAAGTATCTGGCTCAATCACCTCATTGTAACATTATAGTTGTGTCTCTATGTCAGCATTAGCAATAAGAAGAAGCAGGCGATGTTTTTTTTTTATCGTACACCCACCATCTGTGGATATCTCAAGTGATTATATGGCAAGCGTTCAAGTAAGTTTGACATCGAGCAGCTGGGACTTCTGCAGCAGCAGGCCGATGTATCTTACTCTGAAGACTGTTCGGCTTCCACTTGACTATATGTAGTATCGTCAGCCGTGGTCGACTTTCTTCTGGATGAAGGCCTCCCTGTGTAGTCCTCTCTCACGTTCCTGCAATGCCACAGTCCATCGCACGCCTGCGTATGAGCTCTCGCTCTCTTCGGTCCTTTGGCTGGCACTCTGTAACCGGGCCCACCCATAGCGATGTGTCCTGCCTCAACCCCAATTACTGTTATTAACAGTGAATAACAATGGCATCTCTGATAAATGAATAAAAGCAACATGTAGCGTCTTTAAAAACTCCAATTACCCATGCCACTATTCTTCCTATTTGCATTTTCCACACCCTGCATTGCTGAACAACTTCCAGTTATTTGCAATTTGTTTGCAGATAGGTGGAGTAAACGCAGAGATAACTGCAGATAATGGGAATCTGTGATGTTTGTCCCCCCAAATTGCAGCGGATTAGAGGATTCCTGCAGGACAACCACACTCACGGGTCCTAAAGGTTGACACCTCTGTGTGGCGGTGCATCATCTCCTGTGGTTCTACATTTCCCTGGGACAATGGCCTATTACACGTGGTGTAATAATAATAATAATACTTTCATCTTATAAATATATAGCGTCATTCATGCTAATAGCAGCCCATATCGCTGTACGTTAATTATATGCAAGGACTAAATTCCATAGAAATCTGCTACCAAGCAAATCAAAACCCTACTACAAAGCAAAATCGTCCCATAATTCTGTATATTAATTATGTAGATGAGGACCAAATCCCATATACAGCCACTATCAAGCAAATTGAAACCCTACTACCGAGTTCAAATCTAAAATTATGAAGCAAATGAAGAAGTGGTGTGTGCAGACCGTTGGTGCCGAATCACCGTGTGCGCGTGATGCGGATGTGTCAAGCCGACAGGAACACGGCGTCTCCTGTCCAGTGGAGAAAGAATCATCACAGCGGCAGCCCCGTGTTGGAATCCTGGAGCTCCGCGCCGCGGGTCGGAAAGGGCGATAGGGGCCACCCCTCGGCCCTGCTTGCGGGGGGGAACAGCGATGACAGGCAGCCCATGGGCAGCCCCATTAGCAGCGGGCTGCACGTGGACAAGTCTGCGTGGGGAAGAGAGTGAGCGGTTTGCAATCACCTGCACAGCCCATCTTGAACAATGCTCATAACCGCATTGCTAATGCGTGCTTGACATCGTGGGGTTTTCCCCAATAATGTAATTTAATTTGCAATTATGTTGTGGTACAATGATATGTAATTATGTTACTTAACTTTAAAAGAGGGCAGCTCTAAAGATTAGGCATTGGTTGTTAGGTGAAGATGTTATCTCCCTCGCCTGGTATACAGGAGGTCGGGGGGTTCAATCCCGACCCTGATGCCTGTATATTTTGAGTTTACGTGTTCTCTCTGTGGTCACGTGGATTATCCACTCTTAACTGTCTTCTACAGCACAATGCAGACCGTTTAAATTTGCTCTTAAGAGGAGACTGGATGGCTTATCGGTCAGAGCGCTAAGCTGGCGCTGCTGAGATCCAAAATTTGTCAATAACGCCGTGGCCTTAAGAAAGAAAAACAATCGAAAATAGTCGACATCTTTTGGGCTATGGCCCTTACTTCACAGCACATAGAGAGGCCAGAGACTACAGTCTTTTCTTCTTTACGGCAGTATTTGTGCCTGTGCACCACCGCCAATACAGCGTCACCTAATAATGCGATTAAACCAGGCTCTCAAGTGTAGCCACTTTGATTGTCTCAATCCGGTCACCAATGACAACACACAAGAAAAACATTAAATTCCGTTTCGCACTTGATTTGGCAAATTTCCAGCTCCGCGGGTAAAAAAAAAACCCCATCAGTTTGACATTAGATGGACGGATGGGAGAGGGTTGCCCCCTAGTGTGCTAAGAGATCACTTGAAGGAATCTCAAAGGTAGTTCTGTAATATCTGCTTCGTGGCTATAATTGGGTGATGCAATGTACTGTTTCATGAGCGACCCAAATAGATCATTCGTCTCGCGACACCGATAGCACAATCGGGATTAACTTGGGGGGGAGGGCGGGGGGGCGAAGGGGAAATAAAAACGATAAATAACTACCACTGACACCCGAGAGAGGATCATGATCGAGACAGACTCAGTTTTCACTTTGCTGTCCGCACAACAGAACATGTCCTCGACTGAGCAATGCGTGAAGCCACAATGCTAAATGACGAGACTCGCACAAAGGAACATTATGTTTTTGACAAAGTATAGATGGGCATTACAGTATTTATAAGAAGTTATATTAATACAAAAATAGCGAGTAATGACTTTGCATGTGTTTAGATGTTGCTCATGTGTGCAAGCATTATCTTCGCGGGTGGGCGAAAGCTCCGCATTTCCTCGTGTTATTTACAGATTGTGTTTCACCTTGCAGTAACGTACTGTGCGGCGCAATCTAATTGAGTGGGCGCCCCGTCTGTGCAGGAGCCTGGACGTCCACCAGCACAGCGGCTGGGAAGCAGAAGTGGAACGCCTTTGGGAAGGATTTGATATCCCAGTGCTGCCACGTGGCCAACACCTTCTCATCAACATTTGCAGCACCTGGGGAGACCGCCACTACGTCGGCCTAAATGGCATCGAGGTAGGGCCCACCGAACGCATCGGCAAAAGGTTTCGCCGGAACGGCACGTGACGCCGGGGTCTTGCGTGTGGTCATGGCCGACGGCCAAGAACTGCCACAGCCGCGCGTCGGTTATCCGCTGTCGCCCCCCCTCGGTGTGGAACTCTCTGTATCCCAGTTTAAAACGTAGGCGACAGCCACAAATCTGGCTGTCGCCTGATTATGCCGCTTTGTAAATACTGGAGAAACGTCGTACTCAGATTGTAAACGTTGTGCATTTGCTATCCAACACACCGGTGTGCTGAAGTAGTAACTAATTGGCGCGTTGTTCACGTGAATGATATTGGTCGCGAAAGCCTACGTGTGAAACATCGCTGTGACGTTTGGCAGGTCTTCGCGGACACGGGCGAGCCGGTGCCGATCGCCGAGGTGCTGGCCAACCCGGCCGACATCAACGTCCTGCCCGAGTACGGGCGGGACCCGCGTGTCGCCGCCAACCTGGTGGACGGCGTCTACCGCACGCAGGACGACGGCCACCTGTGGCTGGCGCCGTTCACGCCGGGCGCCGCCCACCTGGTACACCTCGCCTTTGCAGAGCCGTGCCGCGTCGCCATGATCCGCGTGTGGAACTACAACAAGTCGCGCATCCACGCGTGTCGCGGGGCACGACACCTCGACATCTCCCTGGACGGTGTCCTCGTCTTCAGCGGGGAGATCGCCAAGGCTTCCGGCACGCTCCGCGGGGGTAAGCCGGGGTCAGGGTACGTATGCTTGCCACGGCGGTGACCGGTTATGCCCTTGGGTGAGGGCGGCTAGGCGTGGCGATTCGTAAATGAAAGGTTTTTCTTTTCATGGAAAGTGAGATCGCGTGCGTGTAAATGCGTTGTTAACCCGCCACCGCCCGATGCGGCCAATCGATGAGGTTTGTCGCGTGAACAAAACAATTAGTTACTGCTTCGGCACACCGGTGTGTTGGAGAGTGAACCCGCAGCATTTACACAGCAACATCACCACATACTTACAGACTGATGTGAAGTGATATTATCATCACCCCATCTCAATCATTACCCATATAGATTGTGCTTCTATGTACAGAATTTAAGATGTGGTCACATTTAAATATTTAATGAATATGTAAGTTATTGTGTGCTTAATGCCATTGTTGCATCTTTAATGTATAATACAATAGTTCACCCATCCTTTGTGTATATAGCACACTGCGACGCACAGCGTTTTTTGCAAAGTAGAATTCAAAATAATCGTCACGGTTCGACTCGTCGTGCATCGGGTGAAGATGATCATTAGAATATGACTGATATAACCAGTATAACTCACAGGTATCTTGGGACTCATCCCAAACGGCGCTAGCGGAGTCCACTCCGCGTGCAAAATACTTATGCAATTAAAAGTGTTCTTCTGGCGACGCCGTGCTGGACGTGCGGCCCACTCTCTCTCAGGCGTGGAGCAGTTCGGAGACACAATTCTCTTCACCACCGACGACTCAATCCTCGAGGCCATGGCTCGGCACGACCAGACGTTTCAGGAGGAGTGGAAGGAGGAAGAGAGCAGAGAGGACCTCCCAAACCGGCCGCGAACGAGCGACAGGGACGCTGACGAGAGGCCAATCACCTGCGCCGCCTTGCCCAGCTGTGAGCAGCAGAAGGTACCGCGGTGGGCACAACCGGCCCGATACATTGGGTCCGCACCAGCGGTTGCCAACCTGTGGTACGCGCACCCCTGGGATATACACGGTGTCTCTCGGGAGAACGTGAGGTGGAACCTGTGGTGGTCACGTGGGGTCACCCAAGCAGTGCTGATTGACGTGTATGCGCTCGCAATTCTAAAGCCATATGCCTGTGTGTTATATGTTAAAAGTATGCTATATGTTAGATGTGTGTTCCACAATACAGGTTTATTTTGGGTTGGATCGCGTTAATATAAATGTGTCGTTAAAACCGCCACCACCCAACACAGCCGATGAGTAAAATTTGTCACGTAAACAAAACATGCCAATTCGTTACTAGTATAGCAACACCGTTGTGTTGGAGTGAAAATCCACAACATTTACAATCTGAGTACGATATTTCGCCAGTAATTACAACCGACATCATCAGGCGGCAGCCAGATTTGTGATGTGTGTTAGATGTATGTTAGATGTATGTTAGATGTATGTTAGATGTATGTGAATTGGGTGAACATGCGCAATGGAATGCCTCAGTCATTGCACGCGATCTGCTTGTGCCCTCTCTCATGTATAACGTTTAGTGAACTTTTATTTTCCAAATACGAAAAATAAGTTATTCATATTCATCATAAATCGTTTTTCGCTTCCTGTAAACCTCAGCACTCCTCCCCTCGGCTTCATGAGGACGGCGATCCAAATTAAACTGTACAGCGGTGATTTTTTAAGTGTTATTAAAATGTAAATGCCTAATCAATTGTTATGAATTCATTCAGTGTTAACGCAAATGGCTTACGCGTGACTGTAATTAAACAGTTATTTAATCATTGACCTCGTGTATGATGATGATGATAATGATAGGCGGACAGTTGCTGGGTCTGATAAGGAGGCGTACATGACGAGAAAATTGGTCGGAAGCCACTGCACTGACACTGAGGTCCCAGTCCTGGTACTTCCCCTGTCTGGTGTGGATGATGTCCAGTTCGCGTTGGCAAGATGTTAACTCCCTCGCCTCGTACGGAGGAAGGTCATAGGTTCAATCCCGACACTGACGCCTGTATATTTGGAGTCGGCGTGTCTCTCTCCCCGTGATCGCGTGGATTTTTCTCCTGGGTCTTCCGGTTTTTCCCTCCACATTGAGAATCAACATCACACATTCAGAGTATTTGGCTGCTATGAATTATGCGCGTGATAAGCCACTTTAGTTGAGCTATCATTTGTGGCCAGGTCGCTTCTGAAAAAAAGAGCTTACATAGCTCAGTGGGTCTTACTTGAAAAAATAAAAATTGTCGATAGTATAGTTTTCACTTCAAATAATTCACTGATAATTTGAGATGCATGTCGCGTCTCTTGGAGGCAGTCTGGGAAACCTACGGTTGACCTTTTTGTAACTAAACAGCACGACAGAGTGCATTGGCTTAAGTGGAAGGTTATTGCATGGAGCAATGCATATTGCATATTTAAGGCAGCAGCCAAAATGTTTCAAAAAGGGTTTAAGAAAAAAACTCCCAGCACAAACACCTTTAATTTGAGATTCTATAAGGTGATAACACGAATGTATTTGTTCTGTAATCGAGTTATATATATAGTTCCGATGTGCGGTGCATGCTGTGACTCTTAACACTTTTTTCAGAGTTTGGATTTTGCTGAAGAAACGGAGGGAGAAGTTGGAAAGTATACGGGGACACGTGAGTAGGAAGCATTCACTCAGCAGTTACATTTTCAAAAGTAGAATCATAAAAAAACCTTGGTGATATTAAAATTGCTGTCTAAACAGATAAGTTTGGTAATATTTGCTGACAGGCTTTATTGATTTTTTTTGCAAAATTCTTCCCATGCAGTTAAATCAATGAGAAATAATTATACAAAGATACGTACAATGATGCACACATGACCAAAACAAGTACAAAATGGACCGATTGAATGCAGTCTCGCATTTTGTTTTGTCTGATGGAAAGGATAAATAACAAAAAAAACACTTCGTGGGAAATAAATTCTATTCAATTTCGTTTTTCTGTAATTAGAGCAAAAACCATTATAATTCATCAGCGCACAATAATGTGTGACTCCGAAGTGATTTAGGTTTTTTGAAAATGTTAACAATGTGCCACCAACCATTAGGCGGGGGGAGGGTTTGGGGGGAGTGGGGGACAGGGGGTAGGGGGGAGAGGGAGGGTTGGGGGGGACGGGGTGAGTGGGACGATGGGGTGGAGGGGTGGGGGGGGGGAGGGTGGGGGGGGAGTCGGAGGGTGAAGTGGGGGTAAGGGAACCCCTCGACAGCGGTGACATGGGGTGCTTCTCCGGCCCGACGATCTCTGTGCGGTGGGCTAGGCCTGCAGCTGAACGTGACCCACACGTGGGGAGATGAGCTGCAGTTTGGGCTCACGGGGCTGGAGGTGGTGGGCTCCAGCGGCGACGCGCTGCCTGTCTCGGCGGGAATGCTCAGCGCGCCCTCGGCCTCCGCGCCTGGCAGCCCGGCTACCGCCGCGGAGGCCCGGCACGAATCGCCCTCCTCCGGCCTCGACAGGTACGTACGTACGTAAGATGTACGTATGTTGACCTTCTTTAGCACCGTACGTAGGCAACCTCGCTAATCGGAGGTGCGGGGGAAGGACAACAAACTAAATACAAAATATAAATTCTAAAGAAATTAGTTTGTCAATCTAGGTGATTTATAAGCACGTAGCTCCAGTCGCTTCCTGATATCGGCAGAGCATTCCAGACGACCGCAGAAGGACATCTGAGAGCGCGATGCGGTGACCGTCTTTGTTCGATGGCCAGACAAAAATCCGTCGCCGCGAGGATGACCGGAGTCCGCCCCGGTGGTTTGTGCTCCTTGACGATGCCTCCTACTCCATGGGCAGGCGACACAAGCCGCCACCCCACAGCCCCGATACGTTGAGGCGCTCTGGAGCCGCGCGATCCGTCTCCCGTCCCCCTTTCGTGAGGCCGTCCCCGTTAACGTCGCACGCCGCCGAGGGCGTCCCCTCCTCTAGGAAGTCGATGGGAAAGTGGCTGCCGAGACGAGGCTCCCTTTGACGAGTTCGCCCAGGCGGCACGTCACGTCGCCGCCAAAGCAGAGTGTGCACCTAGCTTCATGCTGAACACATTGCGTGTGTGTTATATATATGTCAAAAGTACAGGGTGCTTCACAAATAATGTTAACACTTATATGGGACTATTGTTTTTTTTATGGAAAAGGAATGGATAATACACTGTGACGTCAAAGAGTCTCTACTTGTTCGTCATCGTTGTCAACACGTGCCTGGAATCTTCTCCAGGTGGTCTCCAGAGCCCGGAGGCAGCGCATTTCTTGTGATGTTGTTGCAAATTCTCCGAAGTGTTAACGTTTTTTTGAAGCACCCTGCATTTTAGTGACAATACCGGCGAGCTGCTTGATGCCATATTGTTGGTCTATAATGGCAGCACTTTCTTTCCAATTGCCCGTATTTATCCACAATAGCTTTTTGCGTAAGGCCACGTAATGGTCTGGACAAATTTGTATCATTAACAACCCTCCACCACCCCACGCAACCAACCAAATTACATTGTTACGTTTACACGCGTGTAACGCGTATAATGCATGTATAATTATTGTTTAGGCTCAGCGGTAAATCGGAGCACAATTCTCATAACATAAGGGAGCATCATCAGGACAAGATCCAGAGAGTCAGAATAAAAATCTATTAAGTCTGAATAACTGGGTCATCTTACCCCAGCAGTTGGAGTATTTATCTGCACTCAATTTCCACGTGATAAGCCACTTCATGGAGCTATCATTTGTGGCCAGATCGCTTCTAACAAAAGAGCTACATAGATCAGTGGGCTTTACATGGTTTAAATAAAAAAAAATGTTTAATTTTAGTTTCTCTTAAATAGGTGCCTAGACCTCATTACATGGCCTGACCAAAAATGAATGATGAATTCATATATTCTCTGCGAAAAACCTACATTAAGTTTGCATGTATTTCAACACCATTTCTTCAGAAGAGCAAACCACCGCCAACCTATTATTCACCAGTATTTGACCTACTGACGACGGGAGGGAATGGATGATGACACGCGGTATATTTCGGATAATAGGAGGAGCACAGCACGCAATGACAGCTGCTGTGAACGGTGTCTCTACAAATTTACTTTACATACATGACGATTAAGCCATATTTCTCCACGTCGCACTTTCAACCTGCAGAAGGAAAATATTAAAGTAAAATTACATCGGTAAGTGAACCCTAGGGGGAACGCTTTGCCTCTGCAATGGTGCCTTTCTGATACCTCTCTCCAATAGTGGAGAGGCAGAATGTTCACGATTTTAAAGTGACAACCAGCACAACATGGGGGGCGAGGGGGAAATCATATTGATTTTAAAATAAAAAATATATAGCGTAACTTTGTTGTGAAAGACTCGTTCATTCAAGCAACAATCTAAAAATGCGTCTTTAAATAGTGCATGCATCCATGTAATTTGTATTGGGCTGAGGTTGGGAGCGGTTAAAATGTGACGTTCGTAGTTTAGCACGAAGGCTTACACGACCAATATAATCCATAAAAGGTTTTTGGGTTCGATGGTGTAAATATAAACGTGTCGTTAAACCCGCCACCACTCGACACAGCCATTTCCTAAGGTTTTTGAATACCCGAGTGTAAATTTTAATTTACATTCAAACAAATATATCTCCAAATGAAATATATCTCCAAATGTGAAATGTTTGTTTAAACGTTTGCGTGACAAAACACATCACATGTACAGTGAGGGAATTCAGTATTTAATCCCCTGCTGATTTTGTACGCTTGCCCAGTGACAAAGAAATGATCAGTCTATAATTTTAATGGTAGGTTTATTTGAACAGTGTGAGACAGAATAACAACAACAAAAATCCAGAAAAATGCATGTCAAAAATGTTATAAATTTATTTGCATTTTAATGAGGGATATAAGTGTTTGACCACCTCTCATTCAGAAAGATTTCTGGCTCCCAGGTGTCTTTTATACAGGTAACGAGCTGAGATTAGGAGCACACTCTTAAAGGGAGTGCTCCTAATCTCAGCTTGCTACCTGTATAAAAGACACCTGTCCACAGAAGCAATCAATCAGATTCCAAACTCTCCACCATGGCCAAGACCAAAGAGCTCTCCAAGGATGTCAGGGACAAGATTGTAGACCTACACAAGGCTGGAATGGGCTACAAGACCATTGCCAAGCAGCTTGGTGAGAAGGTGACAACAGTTGGTGCGATTATTCGCAAATGGAACACAAAAGAACTGTCAATCTCCCTCGGCCTGGGGCTCCATGCAAGATCTCACCTCGTGGAGTTGCAATGATCATGAGAACGGTGAGGAATCAGCCCAGAACTACACGGGAGGATCTTGTCAATTATCTCAAGGCAGCTGGGACCATAGTCACCAAGAAAACAATTGGTAACACACTACGCCGTGAAGGACTGAAATCCTGCAGCGCCCGCAAGGTCCCCTTGCTCAAGAAAGCACATATACATGCCCGTCTGAAGTTTGCCAATGAACATCTGAATGATTCAGAGGACAACTGGTTGAAAGTGTTGTGGTCAGATGAGACCAAAATGGAGCTCTTTGGCATCAACTCAACTCGCCGTGTTTGGAGGAGGAGGAATGCTGCCTATGACCCCAAGAACACCATCCCCACCGTCAAACATGGAGGTGGAAACATTATGCTTTGGGGGTGTTTTTCTGCTAAGGGGACAGGACAACTTCACCGCATAAAAGGGACGATGGACGGGGCCAGGTACCGTCAAATCTTGGGTGAGAACCTCCTTCCCTCAGCCAGGGCATTGAAAATGGGTCGTGGATGGGTATTCCAGCATGACAATGACCCAAAACACACGGCTGAGGCAACAAAGCTAGTGGCTCAAGAAGAAGCACATTAAGGTCCTGGAGTGGCCTAGCCAGTCTCCAGACCTTAATCCCATAGAAAATCTGTGGAGGGAGCTGAAGGTTCGAGTTACCAAACGTCAGCCTCGAAACCTTAATGACTTGGAGAAGATCTGCAAAGAGGAGTGGGACAAAATCCCTCCTGAGATGTGTGCAAACCTGGTGGCCAACTACAAGAAACGTCTGACCTCTGTGATTGCCAACAAGTGTTTTATTTTAAGTGTTTTATTTTATGGTGACCTTCAGACCGCAGCTCTTTCGCATGTTTTGCAGAGGGGTCAAATACTTATTTCCCTCATTAAAATGCAAATCAATTTATAACATTTTTGACATGCGCTTTTCTGGATTTTTTGTTGTTGTTATTCTGTCTCTCACTGTTCAAATAAACCTACCATTAAAATTATAGACTGATCATTTATTTGTCAGTGGGCAAACGTACAAAATCAGCAGGGGATCAAATACTTTTTTTCCCTCACTGTACAAGCACGTCTCATTTTGCATTGAGTATTTTGTAAAAGTAGGTTAGAGGGAGTAGGAGGAATTTTACATATTAATAACACACACGAGTGGGGGAGAGATTTTTTTTAAAGGCCCGGGGCCGGTCCAGGACACACTGGCAGGGCAATGTCACTCGGCTGGCCTGGGAACGCCTGTATAGTGTAGCGTATAGTAGTGTAGTGTATAGTAGTGTGTAATGTATAGTAGTGTATAGTGTAGTGTATAGTCGTGTGTAGTGTATAGTAGTGTGTAGTGTATAGTTGTGTGTAGTGTATAGTCGTGTGTAGTCTATAGTAGTATAGTGTAGTGTACAGTACAGTGTAGTGTATAGTGTAGTGTATAGTAGTGTATGGTGTAGTGTACAGTGTAGTGTATAGTGTAGTGTATAGTAGTGTACAGTGTAGTGTATAGTAGTGTAGTGTATAGTAGTGTAGTGTATAGTAGTGTATAGTAGTGTAGTGTACAGTGTAGTGTATAGTAGTGTATAGTAGTGTATATTAGTGTAGTGTACAGTGTAGTGTATAGTAGTGTAGTGTATAGTGTAGTGTATAGTAGTGTAGTGTACAGTGTAGTGTATAGTAGTGTAATGCACAGTGTAGTGTATAGTGTTATAGGGAAAGCGAGGTGTGGACCACCCTAGTCAACACGCTGCTGCTGCCGTGACCCTCACCAGCGCAAGCGGACTGAGAAAGTGCCGCAATATTTTGTCCATGATATTCGAATAATTTTACACATTAGCAGATATTTCTCCATGGAGGCAATGTTCGCCCAGTGAATCCTCATCTGCACATTGCCGAGTACACTGCGTCGACATCATTCATGCAAACGAAAATCATTCTGCCTCGTAAATGTCTTCTTGCCGCCTTTTTACATTTAGATTTAATTATTTCAGCAGGAAGGGCTCAATGAGCTGCTAGGGTCTATTTCACGGGCGTCCTGCTACGGTACAGATGTTGTACAATACAGACTGTGGTTACAACCATGGTCACATAGGTTAGGATACAAACGGCGCGTATATCGGTACCTGTGCTTCACACATTACGGAAATAGGAAACCGGTGGAAATATTTAAGTGCGAACCGCCCAGACTCGGGCTTACGCCTCCGTGCCGACTGTTTGTTACGGGTACATCTCCTTAGCTCTTTCGGTAAAGTCACGTTGAAGGGAAACAACAAAATAATAAAATATATAAAACAATAAAAATTATCACGACGTTTCGACCATAACACCTGAAGACGACCGTTCGTGTTATGGTCGAAACGTCGTGAGAATTTTTATTGTTTTATATATACTTTATTATTTTGTTGTTTCCCTTCAACGTGACTTTACCGAAAGAGCTAAGAATATGAATTGCTGCAGTCACGAAAGCTTTAAATCAAAATTCTACAGGTACATCGATGAAGGACTTGAGTTTCAGGAACGAACTGGGGTTTCTCACGGCCGGTTTCCCGCCCCTCCCTGCGCTTTCCGCTCAGGCTCTTGGACGGCGAGAATGTGACCACGTGCGCAGAGCACATGTGGTGCCTGCCTTTCACGCCGGGAAGGAGTCACCTGCTGGTCATCACCCTCGCACGGGCGCACACCATCACCGGGCTCAGGTTCTGGAATTACAACCGCTCGCCCGAGGATACGAGCAAAGGGGTGGGTTATTCGCGACATGTTCAGCGGCCCGGTTTTTTTGTTGTTGTTGCATGTTTTTTTGGGACGTCACAAAAAGTTTTTTTCCCTGTCTCGGCGTTCTTGCCGACCCGTACAAATTTCTTCACGGTGATTTTTTTTTGTACTTTGCTCGCGTTTCAAATATTTCACCCCTATCGCGCGCGCGCCAATGTTTATGGATGTTTATCGTTTTCAGAGTGTGATTTATGGAGCACGACAAGCACTTCTGATATTAATATTTAAAAAAAACGTAATAAAAATGGCTCTAGAATTTTCGTGAATGTTATAAAAGCGTTGTATTACAAATTGGATTCTTTTTTGTAAACACAATCAAAAGGGATGTCCCGTGTTATCAAGCAATGCATATTATATATTGCCTTTTATAAAAAAAAAAATGTTGTGCATGTTTATATTCTACAATATACCTTGTGAACAGCGCTGTTGTGCGTTTGCTAAATAAAAGTAAACCTTGGGAAAGCTACCCAAGGCTTGTGTGTTGTGTAAACTCTAAAAATGCAAGAGAGAAATTAACGAAGTATTATCAGCTGCTACATCCATGACTTAGAAGAATGTCGTTAAAAGTAATGCTGTAGTGTAGAGATAGTTACAGTCTTGCCATTCAGTGTACCGTGCCAATAGTTACTCCTTGTTACTGTTATTCGTACTACTACTACTATGCTATTAGAACGTTATGTAATGCTTTTATGATGTTACTGTTTCTATTATATCGCACTGGCTTTATAAATGTTGCCCCCGTCATGGGAAGGTGGAATTTCCACCACTGGCTCTCAGGACTGTAAACAAGAGATGACCATCACCTCAGTGCTCATTTGAGCAGAAAATCACTGTTTTTTTACATTTATATACAGAAGTTAAAACGCAAAGATACCAACCTACTAAGACTTTTAACCTTGGATTGTAACTCCATCTGCAGAGTAGACTAGTTGGCTCAAGATCACAAAAACATCATGTCCATAGTCATGAAGGGTTGCGATTATTTGCCCAATACTGATTTGTTTCTTAACTGTGGAGCATTCTAGAAGGCCATGCTATACAAATACACGAGGGTTAATTAATCACGATTACAAAACTGTTTTCAATTCAGGCCGCATCGTGTTCATGAGGTGATATGCTCAGCACATTGAGACTTCATCCTGATGGTTCTGGCTCTGTGTTCTCCATTCCCGTATTTCATTCAGCTCACCTCCTGTATGAATCTCGCTCCCACGTCGATATATCAAATAGAGATGATGCTGGTGCTGCGGCAACATAAATCGCAGTGTGTGTCAATCACCACACTCAGCTATTTCCATGACCAGAGCGTCATCGTTAACAATAAAAAAAACGAACCAGGTTACTAGTTGTGTGCCGGGTCAACCGAGGAAAGGCCAAGAGCACGTTCAATTGATACCTGCCACTTGTATTGTACAGGGTGCTTCAGAACAATGTGAACACTTCTAAGAATTTGCAACAATACCACGAGAAATGTGCTGCCTCCGGGCTCTGGAGACCACCTGTACAAAATTCCAGGCACGTGGTGACAATGATGGCGAACAAGTGGAGACTCTTTGACTTTTTGAAGCTATTAACATACAATTGTTATCATGTTACAGTGTATTCTTTGGGTCTTTCGGTAAAGTCACGTAGATAGGTTCAAAGAAAATAACAAAATAACCTATCTCCGTGACTTTACCGAAAGACCCAAAGAATATGAATTCCTGCAGTCACGAAAGCTTTAAGTCAAGATCTTACATTAAAAACGATAGTCCCATGTAAGTGTTAACATTTTCTGAAGCACCCGGTTCATGGCCAGAAATGTAATCCAGATCTATGGGATCCTGCCGCAGCTTTGCTAACTTCCACAGCAGCACCCATCCTGTGAAGGGCTACACGTAGCCACTGCAGAAATGCACGGCGATATTCACAGGCATCAAATTGCACACGTTTGCTGCCACGCATCCCCACTGCACTGGAAGCCGGAACACAGCACTCGACCTTGGAGAAAACTGCCGCGTAGGCCTTTCTCTCGAGGTAGTGCCGTAACGTGTGTTCGGGTTCAGCTCTTCAGGAACTGCCACTGCAGGACTGATTAGGTCCTGAAGAAGTTCCCAGCGGATGGAGTGAAACGTCAGACATCCTGAACGAACAACCATGCGATGACAATGCGAAAATCGCGCCAGAGGCCTTTTGACGAGTACGGACGACTTTGTGCGACCATTAAAAAAATCAACTTCATACCTTCATAACCCGGACAGCGCCTTGAAATTCAAGCAGACGTATCCCACCGTGAGTTGAAGTCAAGTTGAATTTTCTGACACCCGTTCTTGCTACGTCCATCCATCCATCCCACCCCCCAGGTCCGCACAGTCCACGTGGCGCTGGACGGGCGCGTGGTGTCTCCACCAGAGGGCATTCTCCTGAGAAAGGGGCCAGGAAATTGCCACTTTGACTTTGCTCAGGAGATTATATTCCGAGAGTTTGCTCCAGGGAGCGCACAGGCCAGAGCACAGCAGACTTCCTGCAGGTACCTTTGACCTTATAAAACTAAATGGATTAAACTTTTGCCTCGTGAAATGTCATTGCTATGTGCGTTTGTCTTTGCCTGGTTGTGTTGTGCATTTGAATCTCGTAGAGTTGCCTAACAGCGTTTTAAAGCCAATTATATCAGTCTCTCTTATAAAACGGCATATTGTCTTAAGGTCAGAAACATTATCGACATTATAGTAAAGGCCTTGGGAAGTGTTGAAAAAGAAAATCCCGATGTTGAGCTTTCAGATGTATTTTAAATGTTACATTCAGTGAAATGCTTTCAACCAATTTCACTAAATTTCAGTCATACCATGTACCGTATATTTATACTGCATGGAAGCTGTTTGCATGTCAATTGCATAAACGATTTAAGATACACTCTGTACATACACACATCATACATGTGCAATTGACATAATTGGCTGTGTCGGGTGGTGGAGGGTTACGACACATTTATACTTATGCGATCTAACCCAAAAACCTTTATTATGAATAATATCGGTCGCGAAAGCCTACGTGTTAAACGAGCAAAACAATGCCTGATACCGATGCATTGACGCGCGTGTCCAGTGTCCACGCCGCGTACCAGAGCTGTCTCTAACGCGCAGCGTGGTGATTATGCGTGCGAGCTGCTCGTCGATGATGACCTTTCGATGACCGTCGACGATGACCTTTTTCTCCTTCAAGAACTGAACGACCTGGAAACGACAGCGGCGTGCGGCGCAGACGCGGAAGACCCTTGCGCGGCGGCTGACAAACGCCTCCGACCGATTAACTTGCGTTCAGTCAGCCGGTCGCGTTATCGCAGCTTTTTGTTTTTTTTTATATTTCATTCCAGGCAAATTCACAAGACAATCGAGCAGCCGAGCATGGCCTACGAGGCGCCCGCGATGCCTTGCGGATGTATCCTCGTGTTAAGTCGACAAAAATGACGCGTGCTCTACACCAGTGTTCATCGCTCATTTTCAGAGGTAGGGTGGGGCACTTTCGTCGAGAAGACATCATCAGTGTGAGGGCCGCCACACCATTTGAAACCATCGTGGGCGGGGGGGAGGGGGTTTCCAGCAGCACGATGACGACGATGATGGGGGGTGTTGTCACCACTCTGTGTGGACTGTCGGGGGGCCGCACTAAAGGCCACCAGGGGCCGCCAGTGGCCCACGCGACCTTGAAAATGAAGACCGCCGCTCTATGCGCACAATTACACTTGAACGTGCGTGATGCTTCCTTGGGATTTTTGTTACGACTGCAATTGTATTACCTTGCTGTTGTTAGTGAAAGTAAAAACAAAAAATGTGTAATTTCCTTGACCGTTGACGCACGTCTGCACTAGTTATCTTCCAGCTTCAGCTGTTGACGAGCTGGGGCGACCCGTACTACATCGGGCTCAACGGCCTGGAGATTTACGACGCCGAGGGAGAGCTCATTCCCCTCACGGAGAACCGTATCCTCGCCGCCTCTGCGACAGCTACAGTACAATCTTAAAGCGTTCATATTGGGAGAAAAAACGCAACAACAAAAAACACAACTCGTGACTTTAAAATACAGGGGGAAGGGAGGGGGGGAGCACATCGTACAATCCGTAAAAAAATGCGGGATTTGTTTTCTAGTTTTTCAAGTCGGAGGGGAGGGTTCAAGTCTCACAATTTCCTTAATGCGCTGCGGTATTCGCAAGAGATAAACACACTGGGCACTCCATTCACGTTAGAGTTTTGAGTGTTTGTGCCCTCGTACGTCTGGGCTTCCTCCCACATGCAACACTCATTAATGGAATTGACCAATTATACAAAAGCTTTAGCCTCTTGTTGTTATGATTTGATCACGTTGCAGATAAATGTAGACAGGGCGGAGCCTGCTATCTATGCTTTAAAATGAGCAAGTTCCTCGGTTCATCGGACGCGACTCCTCAATCGATGGAATGTGCGTACGTACGTTGAACTTCTTCCGCACCGTACGTAGCCAACCGTGCTCATCTGAGGTGCGGGGGAAGGGCAACAAACTAAACACAACACGCAGTCCTAAAGAATACGAGTTTTCAATTCAGATGATGTAAAAGTGCATAGCCCCCAGTGGACTTCCTGACATCGGAAAGGCAGAGGGGTTCCACAGACGGCCGCAGAAGCGCGTCTGAGAGCGCCGCGCGATGATGCGGTGACCACCACCTTCGTTCGACGGCCGAGCATGAGCCACAATTGAGCCTCCACGTTTGTTTAACCCTTCCCCCGCTCCCCTCACGCTGGACGGGGGCCTTGACGCCTCCCCCCTCGATCAGACATGACGGCTTTCCCAGACAGCGTCAACGTGCTGGAGGGTGTGTGCGGCGACGTGCGCACTCCGGACAAGCTGATCGATGGCGTCAACGATACCCACAACGGTCGGCACATGTGGCTGGCTCCCATCCTGCCCGGAGTGGTAAATATGAAAAATCCGACAAAGAATATTTTTTTTATACACCAAAGGTAGACAAGCAGCCAGGCTTGCCAAATCGATTCAGCATTGGCACCAAAAGCCTGCCTGTCTCCGCCTGTCTGTATGCTGTGAAAGTTCTGAAATGATAAATATATATTTTTAAACGGATATCATGAAACGTAACTAATCGCATTTCAAAACAACTTCAACATTCTCCTAATTATAATATTATTATTTGTAGTGCTTTTTCTGTCCACTGCTGGATCAAGGTTCCCTCCCCATGCCACGTCAGACAAGGCAGTTGTTTGACCATACCTCACCCTGTTGGTCAATGTCAGTCGGTGAAGTGAGGTTCAGAGCCCATTCAAATGTCAGTCTCCATTGATGTTATTCATGTCCGAGAATTGAACTCGGGTAGCTGGGTTCTTAGTGCAGTGCGCTAACCACTGTGCAACTGCTCAAACCTGGGAATGATTTGAAATTGTTGTTAAAACTGGATATGATGGTTGTTATATCTCGCGGATGCAGCACTCATTTTACACGTAATCATTAACGCCATGTAATACACTGCTAGCACGATGAGCGTCTGTGACAGTAATAGATTAAAAAAAACTAAATTATATGAATGTGGTGTTCAGCCACGATACGGACATGCTGGCGAGATGTTAACTACCTCGCCTGGTAAATAGGTCGTGGGTTCGATCCCGACCCTGATGCCTGGAGTTTGCATGTCTCTCTCCCCGTGGTCACATGGATTTTTCTCTGGGTCATCCAGTTTTTCCCTCTACATTCAGAATTAACATGCCTTTAGATTTGGCTGCTGCTATTCATTTCCACATGAGCCACGTCGTTGAGCTATCATTTGTGGCCGGGATGCATCTGAAAAAGAGCTATATGGCTCAGTGGGGCCTTACCTGGACTAATAAAAATAGTATATAGTTTCAATATTCTAGTTTATACTTCAAGGAACGGTGACCAAAGCCCTGTAAATCTAAGGCTATCAACACGACCTTCGACCTGAACCTCAACCAGACCCAACAGCGCCTTGAAGGGAGAGGAGGCAGCCGCATCTCCGCTCGTGAAGATGCTCCCAAGTCAAAGGTGACAGGCGTCATCGCCTGCCGCCCTCGTTTGGTGTTTCTCAAAGGAAACACATTCGACCCGAGTGTCCCCCATCTGGTGCTTTTTCAGGAATATTTTTATGGTTTTTTTTTCCTGGATTTTCTGTCTGCACAGTCACATAGTCACTTTAAGATGTTTTTCTTGTTCATGTTTTTTGTTTGTTGCGGTTGCACCCGATTCAAGAGCCGAATGGCTCACAGGGCTATACCAAAATAAATGGAACTGAACTGAACTGAAATGTCGCTGGGCACATCATCGGGATGGGGGGGAGGGGCGGCAGACGTCAACACCACAGACTGCAGCACTTTGCATGTCTGCTGTTGCCCCCAGCTGAACACAAGTGTGGAGCCGTAGTCCACACCGCTTGCTGAATACTGGGCAATCAACTGAATGCTGTTAGGCATTTTATGAGTAGGGTTGCCACCTGGGACAACGAGGGGTTGGCTGCTGCCCCAGGGGGGTGGGGGGGGTTTCCATGATCGTCCTCCTGTTCAGGCCGCTGTCCTGGGAAGTCTGCAAATGTTCCCGGGACATTGGAAGTCTCTGGTTTGTTTTGTGTCAGCTCTCTAATCATCTCCTGTTGTGAGATATTCTTCCCGGTGATATGTTCTGGTTCTTTGTGCCTCAGGGGTGGCAACCTTTATTATCAGTGACACCCGAAAGCTACTCCCAGCTTAAAAGCAGTCCGCAGTTATGCAATATCCCTCTGCGCACAGCTTAAGCGTGACAAATTTGTCCTCAACATAGCCTGGCAGGCCCCGTGGCAGGCCAGAACGTCCGGGCTGGATCTCTGCCGTGTGAGGTCCCCACCAGCGGCGCTCTGATTCCCAGCTGTGTCGACCCAGCAGTTAGCGAGGACACGTCCGTTGTGCACCGCGGTGCGCCTGCCAACGAGGCTTAGCCACAGCTGCCCCCTCGTCGCATCGCCTCGTGTCTCGGAGTGGAGTGATGGTCTCAACTACTCTGTGTGTGGATGCTAAACTTATTTCGCGCCGTGCATAGCAAACCGTGCTCATCAGCGGGGAAAGTAAAGCAAGATAAAGAAATTAGTTTTTCAACTACCTGACTTAAAAGTGCACAGCTCCAGTGAATTCCTAATATCAGAAGGAAGAGCGTTCCAGACAGCCGCAGGAGCGCATCTGAAAGCACCGCGCAATGCGGTGACCGTCCTTGTTCGATGGCCAGCCAAAAGGCGCTGTTGCTGCAGGGATGACCGGGTGTCGCGTGGTGATGCTTTATGCTCCTTGATGAGATCAGCGAGGTATTGTGGTTAATTTGTGACGAGCAGTTGGTGTATGATGAGCGCCACCTTATAATGCATTCATTCAGCAACCATGACTACTGTCGCCGATTGGCATAAGAGCAAGTGCAATCAGCTCGCCATCCAAAGGTGGCGGCAAAGCCTGGGACTCACAACAGACCACCTGACATTTTTTCAAAATTTTACCAGGTAAGCTATGTAGTTCTTTTTCAGAAGCGACCTGGCTATCACAAATGCTAGCTTAACGAAGTGGAATATCGCGCGGAAATTTATCGCAGCCAAATACTCTAAACGCACGTTTCTACATGTGGAGGGAAAAACCAGAGGACACAAGAGAAAAATCCACGTGACCACGGGGAGACACGCAAACTCCAAATATACAGCAGCAGCAGGCGTCAGGGTCGGGATCGAACCCACGAACTCCTGCATACCAGGCGAGGTAGTCAGCATCTCGCCACCGTGGTGCCCAAATCAAATCGGTGACGCTTGTACGTATGCTCCAGCTCACCAGATGGCCTCAGTCCAGGCCCAATGGCCGTGGTGCGTGACCCGGCTGCGGGCGACCCTGGCGCGCCGAGTCGGCGACTCCGTGTTGGTGCACGCGCCAGCCCTGGCATGGCCACGGAGCTTCCACACAAACACTCCCAACCCCCCCCCCCCAAGATGGGTGAGGGCCGCTCTCCCCTTATGGCCGCAGCTAGACAGCGGAAAGAAAGAGGGCGACTGAACTCGACGGTGTGGAACAGTGCTCTTCACTCATTTTCAGGGGAGGTGGTCACTTTTGACAATGAGACATCAGCGGTGTGAGTGGGTGCCACCACACATTTGAAACCATTGGGGGTTTGACAGCAGCACGATGGTGATGGGTGGGGGGGTGTTGTCACTCTGCGTGTATTGCCGGGAGGATGAACTTGAGGGGCCGCACTAAAGGCCACCAGGGGCCGCCAGTGGCCCGCCGGGCCTTGCAATGAAGAACGCTGGTGGTGTGATTTACACAGGGTGGGTGACAGGGGTGACATTCTGCTGTATAAGTGCACGACACTCGGTCTGGCGGACTCCGTGCAACTGCATTGTCAGAGCGTGTCCGCCAACCGATGGCGTCTAGTTCAACAGCCTGACTCTCTAAATTATTCTTGATATTAACATTTGTTGAATGTCACCCAGGCCTGAAATCCTGGCTCCGCCCCTGGATTTACATATCGTCCTTTGGAGGCGAACACAGGAAGGCGCACTGTGCATTGTTATTAATATTATACAGGAGAATCTGTACGATAAGTTTGTGGAGATACTAAGACGATGCTCGTATCTGCTTGGTTCTTTCCGGTAAAGTCACGTAGAAGGGAAATAAAATAATAAAAAAATACAAAACAATTAAATGATGCTCGTTATGTTTACCGCTCTTATCCTTTTGCATTTCGCGAAGCTTGCTCGCGAATAAACGAACCGTTTAGCTGGACAATACGGCAGCAGCAGCAACATCGCTCGCTTTCATGTCGTCTTTGTTGTATGTTCCGTGAGGTGAATCGGGTCTACATCATTTTCGACCACCCGACATCCGTGTCCATGCTAAAACTGTGGAACTACAGCAAGACGCCGACGAGGGGTGTCAAGGAGTTTGGGGTACGTTTCAATACATTTTGTTACGAGCGAGTGTATCCGTAGGCCTAGCTTGTGTCTGGTTAGCAGGCCACGGTGTGCCAAGTTGTAACTAGACGTTGGATATTCAATACGTGGTTTTCCCCCCTTCATAATTGTGCTGTTAACGTTGACTCGCATCAGAAGTACACATTTTGTTACCTCGTTTCATTCTTCGAATTGTCGTCGGTGTGATTTCATAAACGTTATATATGATGATGATGTTATTTTACATATGCAGTGCAATGTTGCATATTCGACCGTAATATATCAGCCCTGACCAATTAACCACTCACGCCTAGTCCAGAATGTGTGCAAAAATCCGACCTTTTCATGCTCGGCAATATGTTATTAATATCACGTACCATCCTCTTACTTCTCAAGCACAGCAAAAGTATTTCCCCTTAGTTTAAAGTAGTTCGCGCTTGACTTTTGTCCAGCGGCCTGCTCGTGCATGGCACGTACCTAACTTTTATTCAGAAGTTCACCTTATGTTTCGTTGTTTGGGTGTAATTTTCCGCGGTCCCTGGACTCGTTCATGTTGATTTAAAGCTTGCGTGACTGCAGGGATTCATATTCTTGGTTCTTTCGGTAAAGTCACCACCACGTAGAAGGGAAACAATAAAATAATAAAATATAAAACAATAAAATTATCACGACGTTTCGACTGCAACACAAGAAGCAATCATCATCAGGTGTGAAAACCACAGCAAGAAAATTTGAAAAAAGTGGCGTGGTTTTTTTAACGTTAGCACCGCGGAGAGCGATTTGACAGTTATTCAGATGGACGAGTCCATCTATTTTTAAATTTTGATTTAAAGCTTTCGTGACTGCAGTAATTCATATTCTTAGTTTTTTCGGTAAAGTCACGTTGAAGAGAAACAACAAAATAATAAAATATATAAAAAACAATAAAAAATTCTCACGACGTTTCGACCATAACTCAAACGGTCATCTTCAGAAGAAGATGACCTGAAGATGACCGTTTGAGTTATGGTCGAAACGTCGTGAGAATTTTTTATTGTTTTATATATATTTTATTATTTTGTTGTTTCTCTTCAACGTGACTTTACCGAAAAAACTAAGAATATGAGTCCATCCATGTTCGGAAAAGAGGAGGGGGGAGACGAAAATAATGGATGCGCTCTGAAAGCCACCGTAAGCGTGAACAATCACTCGTTCATGTTGAAGCTTCTCTGCCTTTGGTCTGATTAAGGAGCCCGGGGTTGCTCTGGAGTGCCGAGACACAACAGTTCACGTATCCGACCTTTCCGCGCATCAACCTCGGTCCCAGGAGACGAGTCAGATGTGCCACGCCATGCCGCTGCCTCGGAGCGAGGTTCAAACCCTCGTTCTGAGGGCTGACACCGGTTTCCCCGACCGTGCCGCCACCTTCGCCAGGTCCTCGTCGACGACCTGCTGGTGTACAACGGGACTTTGGAGCAAGCCTCCGGGGCGTCACGGAGGGGGTCGCCTTACAGGGGGTCACCTCGTCCGTCGCGCTCGCCCGTGCCATGTCACACCGTCCTCTTCACCGACGAGCCGACCCCGGTGACGAGGGAGCGCCGCGCGGTGCCCGAGTGAGCACCACCCCCACCTGGCCCCGTCACCAGCGGACCTCACGCTCCACCGCGCCCTTCACCTCACCAAGACCGATGGGAGAGCCGCTCGAATTCATGCAAACCTAACCCCCACGACCTTTCATGCCTTCGAAATCAATCGTGACAGAGACCATGTAAACAATGATGATGATTATTATTATATAATGCCCCTTGTTTATCAGTGAAATCCTCACTGAGTCTGAATACTCTTTTTTTTTTTCAGGAAGGTGCTGGATTGGGATGTTTGACCAATTCCATTCATGTGTTTGGCGTTTTGCAGATTTTTTTTCTCTCTCAGTGGCATTTCTCAGCTTTTTGTGTTTTGTGTTGTTGTCCTTCCCCCGCACCTCCGATTTAGCACGGTTGGTTACGTACGATCCGGATAAAAAGTTCAACACACATTATAAGTTACACTGCACCATTCATCAGATCGTCGCCGTTCTAACTGTATAATCATTTATTGTTTGAGCTAACGGTCATGCAATTGCGCTTAGCGTTCACAGTGAATTTCAAACCGAAACACTTGGCCCGCACCATATCTTGAATGTCTCCACAACATCCGAACAACTGCAAACACATTCCACACGTGTCTCTATAACTGCTCTTATCTGCCTGGGTGTTCTTGAAAGGAGTCGATTACCGATTCGTGTTTTCTCTTCAACAGGCCACAGGCTTCAAATAAGATGCACATGATATAGTGAGTAACCCATATAGACTCGTACCATATTCTCCAGAAAGCTAAATCCCAGCCCATGCTTGTACCTGGGTGTGAATAAGGTTTTATAAATCTGGTTCCACACACACATACATTGGATTTATCGACTCACACCCAACTTTTTCTTTAAAATAAAAATTTTAAAAGTGCCTTATCTGGATAATGCGGTATTTTATTGTATAAAGTTGTAAAGTGTAAAAAAAAATACAAATGGAATAGATTACACACGTTTGTTTAAACACAAATCCTAACTTTGCTTCACATCCTTGCAGTGCAGAAGAAGAAGATGATGATGACATTCAGCTGTTCGACAGTGGCCGAGAATTGCGACAGAGAGTAAAGCCTGTTGACCAAGGTAATGCTTATTTTCTCACCCCATTATTATTTCGCACCTTCTTAAGATTAAGTTTTAATGAAGAAACTGGGTGGCTTTGGAGACCAGAGGTGCACATGAGTATACTAAGCCAGCACCTTTGAACCTTAGCTCACCCACCCCCCCGGGGTTATTTTCTCAGTACAAGAAGTGTGTTCATTGGGGTCTCGGGGGGCCGAGTCGGTGACCATTGCACGCGGAATCTGCTGCCAAAGGGGTGCATTAGTTGTCAGCGGCTGTGAGGCTCTCAACAAATCACATCGTGGATTTAACAACAAACCCACATGCACTGACCTCCATGCTCGCCGAGAAAGTGCCATCTCGTTAATGTCAAAAAAAGCCTGGAAGCTATTTTTAAAGGGAGTCTTCCATTTTTTTCTTCTGGTCTTACAATATTGTACCATTTGCTTTGATGGCATATAAATGCAGCTGCATGTCAAAATGTGTTTAATATATATTTTTTTAAGAACACAGTGTACCATAGCAGAATTGTACCATGTCACTGCTACGAGTAATGGTGTTCATTTATTTGTCGAATATTTTTTTTTTCGTAATAACTGCTGGCAGAAGATCTTCCAGTCGAGGGAGCTCTGGAGAGTGCCTGGAGAGTTTTTTCACTCCCCTCAAGATGATACTTGGGCCTACTCTCCCATGCTGGCCAAAAATCCACCGTTTTGTAATTGCTTAACCGTTGCAATTATTTTTCTCTGTTTCGGCTTTTCCCCATTCGGTGACCCGGGTGACCTTTGCCAATGAGACGTCAATCCTTGTCCCTTAACTGCTCAGCTGGTTAAACAAAAAGACAGTTATTTCATCTGCCACGTTGGGATGTTTTTTTTTTATACGACTTGCAATCCAGAACCTAAAAGTAAGTTCGTTACAAAAACAACAACAACAACAACCACTCTTTCTAACAATGTATTTCTGACTTTCTTTTGCAGCTCTTCGCCCCATGACCTGCATAGCAGTTCGAGGTCAAAGTGGAAAAAAGTAAAAGTCGCACTTAAAAGCCTGAGCGATGGCTCATGGAAAAGGAAAATTGTTTGCGTTTCTTGCCCAGCACGTCACCGTTGATCCAGCACGTCAGTGTTTCCCGTTTCAGTATAGTATCCGATTAAATATGCATATAATGTTGCAGAAACTGACAACAATAAAAAAAACGGTGTGATATATATAATTTTCACTGCAACATCTTGACGTCGTACAAAGTGTCTGCAACAAACACACACTACACACAAGTGTCCTTAAATAGTAAAGGATTTTTTTTGTTACATTTTAAATACAAATGTGAGCCTGCACTGCATGCGTTACAGGTTGAAACGGTTACGTCTAAGTGACGCCTTGTGTGAGCGCCGACGTTGGGACTTTATCATCACCACACCACGGCCGAATTTTGTACATCATCTTTCTTACCGATTCATGCACCGTTTTCAGCAGTTCGTTGGCAAAGTAGAGCTCGCCAAATGAGTCTGTACCATGCGTTTACAGTGTGTTAAGCAGCACGTTGTCGTGACGTTCCGCTGCACGCGCCTACATTTTATTCCTGGAGAAGCTCCGGGCGCGTGCAGCAAAACGTCGGACATCGTGCAGAAGGACACGCGGTATGACCCGAAAATAAATTGTAGAGTTACACGGCACAACCGTGAAAACCTACGCAGGGACGCTGTTAAAATTATTAATCAGAATTGCTGCAGTCGTGGTTAAATTACTAGTCGTTAACTCTTACATTTTAGTGTTATAACAACGGTTCATTATTACAGGAATAGTTATAGTAACTATAATTCATCCTAATTGTAAAATATAAATTAAACATGTACATGGCCGCCCTTCTTGTCGGGCCACTGCTGCCGAAGCACTTCGCGACACTGAGCGAGTAGTTGCACCATAGCTCACCACGCTGGTCATCGTGGGTTGGTCGAGGTGAGCAGCATAGATGTGGGAGCATAGAATCACAGTACGATAGATGTTGCTGCACCGCTCTCCGATGGCCACAACTTAGTACAACCCTGCCACCGCCTTTGACAATCTGGTGCGCATGGTGGTCGCCCATCCAAGCACTATCCAGGCTCAAAACCGGCTAAGCGTCGGATATCTGATGAAATCGGGCACATTCTGGGTGACATGGGCATATGAAATCTAAAATAACTGCAGGTGTTTAAATATAGAGCATCAAATTCAGTGATAGAATTGAAAACAGTTTTGTAATCTTGATTAATTAACCCTCATGTATTTGTATAGCATGGCCTTCTAGAACGTTTCACAGTTACAGGACAATCAGTATTTGAAAAATAATAGCAACCTTTCATGACTATGGCTATGATGTTTGTGTGATCTTTATCCTTTTAGTCTACTCTGGCAGCTGTAGTTACAATCCAATGTGAAAAATCTTAGTTGGTTGGTATCGCTGCGTTTTAACGTCTGTATATAAATGTCAAAAACCAGAGTGATTTATTTGATCAAATGAGCACTGAGGTGATGCTCATCTCCTGTTTACAGCCCTGAGAGCCAGTGGTGGAAATTCCACATTCCTAAGGCGGGGGTGACAACTCTATAAATCCAGTCAATATAATTACGATATAGTAGAAACAGTAGCATCATGAAAGCATAACATATCTTTCTAATAGCATAATAAGTCGTACGAATAACAGTTACAAGGAGTAACAAATAGCTGAAACTAAATGTTACATTCGATGCTGTATATCGCTAATGCAGTTGTATTGGCCGTGTGCTTTGCTGACTCCCAAGTGGCTGAGGGTCACCCGAGTGGGAGCAGTGAGCACCCAGAGTCCAGTGGGTACCGTCACCAACCCGCACTGACCACGCCGGCGAGGTATGGTCGCGTACCTCTCCCCCACTCGTGCAGCAGCAACAACAACAACAACAAACACACGGAGATTAATTCGCACGCAACTGGGATTTTATCAAGCAATCGTGGCTAGGTGTACGTTTAACTTCTTTCACATCGTACGTGGCCAACCGTGCTAATCGGAGGTGCGTGGGAAGGACAACAAACTAAACACACAAAAAAAGCAGAGATAGGTGTAAGATTAAGTGATGTCAAGGATCGCTGGGTAAGGGGAGGAGGGTTGCCTCCTCCGCTTGACGATTGGCACGCGCGATGCGTGGTGGACCACCTCGCGTTGTGATCGTCGAACTGGGGGACAATAACTGGGAGAAGTAAATTGCGTGTCCGTGTGGAATCGGTGAGGGGAGGAGGAAAAGGCGGAGAACGCCAAACTTCTGCATAGTGGCACCTGGGGGGGGGGGGGTTCATCAATGGGTCTTTCCCCCTTTTCAAAGAAGCTCTCCAGCAACGTTTGTTTTTTTTTACTAATTTTTGCTACTAGGGGTTAGAGCTTGTGGGCTTACCAACACCACGTGACTGAGACAAGTGCGCAGTGCGGGAAAGAGGCGCGGACGGAAGTGGTAAATAATAAAATAATGGAGGTGGGCCACGCGCGGAATCACCGCTCTCACCTCCTGCTGCTGTGTGGCCCGGTTCCTAACAGGCCACGGACCGGTACCGTTCCACGGCCCGGGGGTTGGGGACCCCTGTCTTAGGGGATAGAAAGGTGGCATTATAGCACGTGGCAAGAGATAACGCGTTGACAGAAATTATTAGGATTTTTTGGAGATCTTTAATGCAAAAAAATATAATCGTTTCTCAGGAATTATAAGATAATTCAGATGAAAAGGAAGACGTTCCATCAAATGTCGCACTTGAATGATTGAAACGCTACTCTTCACAGTATGAAAAAAGGGAAAACTTCTGTGACCAGTGTGGTATAATTGGACATCATCAAAGCACCGAGACCAGTTAACACTAAAGCAACAGACCTATTTATCTAAATGTCTCCAGAGAAAATAAATAAATACCTCAATCATGCAATGATGCATCTGTTATTTATCAAAAAATGATAACTGATCCAATAGCCTCTTATCACATATACAAATTGTTCATGATGATCATTGGGAACAGAATACAGTGAAAACCCCAATTAAACTTGGCTACAAATGCAGATTTACGATGGGACAAGTCCCGTACCCCCGAAAACAACAACGTTAACCTCACGTGAAGTTCACATCGCTTGGTTTTACATCGTTGAGGAGGGGGGGGTCAGTCCCGAGGTATTACGTTTTACCTTGACCCTGCGAAGGTATCCGCCCTGGTATGTGGGAGCAGGTAGACAATGGTGGAGTGACTTAGGGCGAGGGGCCTCCCCCAACCTTCTATGCGACGCCTCTCTCGTTGGTGCCGCGCTCCAATGACAACAAATCGACTGCTTCGACGAAGCTTGAATGTTTTAAAATGTACTGCTGTGCGTTTTCAAAGGACTGCGCCTCTTGACGAATACGCTTCTCTTGCGCCATTTTTTTTTACAACTCTGTTTGTTGCGAGTTGGTTACGCGGTGGCGCTGTTGGCACTTGAAGCGGAGCTACACCGTAAAGACGTTTTGTGCAGCTCAGCGACCTTGCACAGTGCACATCTTCGCCTTCACGACGTGGGTAGTAAGCCGTGCGCGTTGTTCACGGGGCTCTTACGGTATTAGAAAAACGCAGGCCCACCATCCGCAGGCTGCGCTGGAATTGGGGAAAGGTTTTTCTACCGTTGGCCACATGCACGCACACTCTCAATCAGATTCTTGAACAGACGAATGGATATAAAAGAGCAACGGTGCCTACATTTTGTAGACTATGAAGAGGCATCTGGGTGGAAATTAATGCAGTCATCCAAGGTTTTAAACCACAACCTAATTACAAATATTTAGAAGTACAGTGTAACAGAATGAAAACGAGGTAGAACTACACTAACATTGTACGCATAGTCAGGCGACGTAGCGCTCTTTCGCCAAAATTATTCACAGTGACATTGGAAGATGTTTTGTGAAAGCTGGTTTAGAGAAACAATGGCATGGATTTAAATCGATAAGGTATTTTCAGATAGGCTGACAAAATAACTTTTTTTCTGCCCAGTATCAAGATGATGAAAAAAGGAACAGGCTTTATCCTTTCTGGCAAAAATACAGAAGATTAAGGTGTTCAAACACCAAATAGACACCTGTAACAAGGCATCAAGTCTGCATTCACCACAACCTGCTTGTGGTAAAGCATGCAAACAAACGTGCTTTGATTATAAGGTACGCATTGAAACAGATTCGCCTACTCCAGACAGCCTCCTTTATGGGCTTGTCTCACCACTGGCGTTAGACCAGAGAACGTCAAAAAGCGAACAGCACGAAGGACAATGCAAATATCAAAGCATTAATAGCTCGGGGTTGAGCTATGGGTCCCATATTTTTTGCCCAGTATCAAGATGATGAAAAAATAATAAGCTTTTACCCTTTACAGAAATAATAGATGTAGCAGCTGCTCAAGCCGAGCAATTAATGCTTTGATATTTGCATTGTATTTTGGGAGCCCTTCATTGAGCAGTGGATCGTGGCTACTGGTGATTGTGGCCTTGTCACCGCGACTGCTTCTAATGAGGGGCGTTCTCCTGGCCTCACTTGTCGTTTCAGCCATACTGTGAAAGGTGCCTTGTTAAGTGCACATTATTAATTGTACTTTGTCACTTACTGCATGCAATATCAGTGTAGCTTTTCCATAAACAGTAAAACCTTGGATTGCGAGCATAATTCGTTCCGGAAACGTGTTTGTAATCCAAAGCACTCGTATATCAAATCACTCGTCGTATATCAGTTGTGATCACGTGACGCTCGGCAGACAAAGCGTCTACGTACACTACACGTATTGCAAGACCCTCGCTCGTTTATCAAGTTAATATTTATTTAATTTTTTGCTCGTCTTGCAAAACACTCGCAGACCAAGTTACTCGCAATCCAAGGTTTTACTGTACAATAGAATTTGATCATTTTTATGTTCTTTTTTTTTACTAAGGCCTTTGCGAGACCCTGGATACATGCATCAGTCTTCACTAACTCAAAAGCCTTCTCATAGTCTCGGCATAGCGGTTTTTTATATTTGTCTTTTCAAGAGTCTGATCGTGTGTCTGGTCAGCTGTAGAAACGCGTTTCTACATCGAAATTGGTGAGCATCTCAATATATTGTCCATTAATCCACTGCATACGATCTTCTTGAAAAATTATGAACATGTCATATATATATGGATCTGTATATATTTTTTTAATCTGTTTTGCTTCCCTTTTTGTAGAGAAGAATGACTAACACATCATTCCATCCATAATGCAGATTTTTTTGGGGTTAGATCGCGTAAATATTAATGGGTGGTTTAACCCGCCACCACTCGACACAGCCAAATCTGGATGTTCCCTGATGTTAGTTGTAATTACTGGCGAAACGTCGTACTCAGATTGTAAATGTGTGTGGGTTTACTCTCCAACACACTGGTGGTGCTGTACTAGTAACGAATTGGCACGTTCTGTTTACGTGACAAATCTTACTAATTGGCTGTCGGGTGGTGGCGGGTTTAATGACACATTCATATTTACTTGATCAAAACAAAAAAAAACCTGTATGGATTATATTGGTCGCGAAAGTCTACGTGTTAAACATCATTCCATGATTGAAGCATTTGATTTCTGTGTTAACATTTTAGAAACAGGTCTGCTAATTTTGCTCAAATGCCTACCTTATAGTCTAGACTTTAATGGAAATGCATGTCCTGAATTTTTTATGATGTTTGCCTGCATGCTCCGTGTATTATATTTCCTTACAACAAAATCACCCCAAATGCACCCAAGCTAAGCTGGGTTTAGCCTCGTTAGTACTTGGATGAGTGACCATCGGGGCTTACCAGGTGTCTTCGGCAAGAGGCTACGTGGTGTCGAGGAGACGCAAGTGCTGAATGCCACCTCCCTTATCGGTCTGAACAGTTGTCTCTGGGTTCAACTGATTTCTTCCTGCATGCCAAACACTCATGGATGATACCGGTCAAACATCCGAATGCAAGGAATATCCTGCAAAATGTATTGTGGCTCGGTGGGCCTTGCTTGGGTAAATGCACGGAATTATTTTATTGTCATATATTTAGTAATTATTCTACAGCTCTTAATTATCATTGTAAAAAAAGCCATAAAGGGATTTCCTGTTCAAAAGAGAAGAGGTAGGACTCATCTGTTTACAGCTCTGAGCCAGTGGCGGGAATTCCTCATTCCTATGCCAGGGTCGATTCTAACCAAAGGACGACTAGCATGGGATTTCTGTATACTTTTTTTTCATTTTAATACAGATTGGTTCATCTCTCTGCAAGCATGTCCTGTATATTAATTGTAAGATACAAATGACAAGGGGCCTGATTTTAAAATAAATAAAATCACCGAGACGGCAGTTTGTGGGATCCAGCGGGAGAAGTGTGAACGATTGGGGGGGGGTAAAAGGTTTCTTCTCGGGACTATTCACAGGAGCTGTCGAGATTCTTATCAGCAGCAGATGAAGGCACAAAAGAAGCAGGTTCTGCATTGTGACTCCTCATTTGTGCTTCAGGATGGGTCGGCAAATCAATACAACAGCAGCAGCAGCAAAGACCTCCTGCTATTATGAATTACATTTTCAATGGACATCATGTTATTTCTACTCTACTCTTTCTCTGTCTGAACGGAAATAAATCCACGTGTGTTCTCTTACTAGTAATTAAATTTAAAAACATTGTAATGTCTTAAGTGGAAAATTTAATTTGCAATACAGTATTCGCCAAGAAATAAGGTCATGAATGTCATGTTTGAAAATGAATGTTACGTGTATTCAAATAGTATTCAAAATGTTCAACGACTAGATGCTGACAATTCAAACACTTGAATAAAGGAATACTCAAAGTTCAGTGTTTATACTGAGTAACTACGTGGTAAATGCTATGTTGGTTATTATTGCAGTGCAGTACAACATCGCATACACAACTCGCCGGGGACTGAGGTATTGGCGGGTCATGCGAAGAGATCAGATGTGTGAATTTCTGAAGGAAATTGCATTTGAATCGTGCACAGTCACGTTATTGGCCCAAACTAAAGTGCAAACTTTAGTTTAAACGTGGGGAGGTGCTTCCACTGTGCCCCTCCACCCAGAAGGCAGTGCTCGCGAGATTGAGGATCGGCCACCGTGTGTGAAAAGGTCGGATATGTGAACATCGCAAATGGTTACACTTGCACAAACATCACACTGGGTGTGGTCGGTTAACTGGGTCAAGGCCTATACGTCCTGGTCAGATAAGTGACGTTATGGTGCATGCCAATCATCTCACGTGGTTTAGGCTTCACAGCTACGTGTGTACAACAACAATCATCCATTGACCACTAAGTGGTGGTGACGTCACCACGGCGCTTGTGCCAGGCTAGGTGCACGTCAAGGCCAAGTGAAGTGTCGAACGGCCGCTGTCAGGAGGTCACGGGACAGACCCAGCAGGTGCCATGGGTTGACTGAGATGCCTGGCCGATGCACCACCTGTGCCCTCTAAGTGTGTACACACACACACACACGACGCACGAAAAAATATACATATATGACGATAAGTAAAAGTAATAAAAGGGGTTTTAACTCTGGACCGGCTTCACGAAGTAAATTGTTTTCCTAAACGCCTATCGGCTGAAATGTCAAGCTCTCTCTAATCTGTAATTAATTTAAAGTGTAATTCATTGCATGAGTTAACTAAAACAGCAGTGTTACACAGATATACACGTTGTACCAACCGTGTTTCCAAATCAAAAGAAAATAGCAATTTTATAAAACAATATTGCATGAGAAAAAAATTCGGTTCTTTTTTTTATGGACACGTTTACACATTCATGCAACAGTTTAGACTGTTGCATGAAACTCATTTAACAAACTACCGCGCGTAGCTGGCGCTGAGAGTGACAGCGAGCCAAGAGAGGGATTTTACACAAGAAATGGGTAATGCGGCTTGCAGACATTGCACTTTAAAGTTTTTGGTGACAATAAATGATAATAGGCTTAACTCAAGCAACTGCTCCCGGTACCAAAAACCCTGCATATTTGTAAATCTCCGGCCAGACAGGATTAGTTTTATTACGTCTAGCCAGGCCGCTTAAAACGTCTGGATTTGGAAATGGTCAAACGCATGGACCCCAATAATATCTTGGACCATTTATGCCTTCAGAAAGTCATTATCCTGAGGGGGATTGCTGTCAATTCCTTTAGCCCGTGCTCTTGTGAAAATCCTTTTTATCCAAAACTTCACGATTAATTTCAGGATCCCCCCCTCCACCCTAACCACCCCCCTCTTTAATTAAATATCGCTGTTAGTTAAAGTTTTGACTATATAGAGTCTTTTATTCGCACGACACTTTATGGTGTATGTAATTTCCAATCGGTAAACTGTGTAAACATACACATGAAGACAAACCTGTAAGCGATTTTGTTTCCTTAAATTCCTCTAAGGCTCATAAAATAATATTTTCCGTAAATGAATAGGTTTAAAGATCACGAGTATTGAACATTGGATGCCAGTAGAGGCCATTTATATTACTATGGTCAAGAGAAACATCAATAAAGATAGGTTTTTCCCGATTTGCATAAACATTAATAATTCTAGTCTGAACCACAGCAGTGTAAAATGCTAAATAATAATCGTGTCATTTAAATATACCTTGCGTAAAATTGCAATCATTCATCGTTCATATAATTTGATTAACTTTAGCATTTTTCAGAGTACGAACATTTTATATTAAATGCTTCCATGTAATACAAAGTACACAGTGAGGAGAATAATAATCATAATGAATAATTTAAGCGCGTGTTTTAGCATTCAAGTGACGAGCATTGTTATGCGTAAAGTACGAGGGGTCACGGAGTGCGTTTAAATCTCTGGATGTGTGCTTCTGCTCCGCTTGTACCGGTCGCAGCGGCACATGAGCAGCATTACCACAGACCTGGCTTTCCAATGGATGCCACATGACAATTATTTTCAGCAAATCCCAGACTAATGTGGCTCTCATGAACCTGGAGTGAAAGGGGCAATTGGTACTAAATGGTACAAACGTTCTCATGCCAGGAATGTTTTAATTCAACTAAGGCACCTAATTGCCAAATTGATGAAAATGTAACAACGAAAAGCCCTCCAATTAGCTGCTGTGCGAGACATTTGGAAATTGAATGGATTTTGTTAAGTGAGGGTTTTTTTTAATTAGCTCATTTAAAAATGATACTTGGAGCATGTTGCATTATTACCCATTACATTACAACCAGCACTAATTTGTATCAATAACACCAACAAGCCTAAATACATGCCAAGAAAACCCAAAAAAAACCTCTATTATGGATGATATTGGTCGCGAAAGCCGACGTGTTATAATGAGTATAAGGAGGTACTCTGTGATGTGTGGAGATGAAGCCAGACAATGCATTTCTTCTTGACCCAAAATTAATTAAGGTTAATTACCACTCCTAGTTCACATGTCTGCAGCAGAAAAGTGAGATATTTGTAATACAAGGATTTAGATTTACCAATGAGGTTTATCGCAATTTGTATAAAAATCAGATTAGGGATAATCAAGATTTAATCTGCACGTCAGCAATATTGGTGGTCAGAATTAGTTCATATTACTTCGAATAACTGCTCAGTTCTGTTTGGAATCTCCTGAAGGTTCCACACTTAATTAGGAAGTATTAACATTGCATACGATGATTATATATTTCCTACATCGTATGTTCTCTCGCATCATTACAGAGTAATATGTACTGTCTCCTGCAACGGTATCAAACATTTAAACAGGCATTAAGCAGGAATGCACATACGTATGGAGATACAATATTAATTTCATAACAGGGTTATAATTTGTACCACTGAGTTATTCAACGTAACGCCAGCAGAAAGTGCAAGGGAACTACAATATAGCATCAGCAAGTAAACAAGTTATGATTATCGGGGCTAGACTCGGTCAGCCGGGTGGTTCAGTAGTAACGTTTGTGCGTTACAGCAAGAAGGGCTTGGATCCTATTCCCGACTTGGACGCCTTCTACGTGGAGTTTGTAAAAATTCTCCCCCTCTTCTGCACGAGTATCCTCTCTGTTCTCTGGTTTCATACCATATCTGAAAACAATCAAGCAAAGATACATTGTACGTGGTATTGGCCAAACCTCCCAATGTTGAAAAGTTACCAGAAAAGTACTCAATTGGGATTACACACATAGCATAATCATCGCACCCCATTGTGAAGTCTTGTCAGGACTCGTTGGGTAAACAAGCGTAATAACAATAAGTAGTTGTTATTAGAGTATTTGGCTGCTTATTCTTGGTTCTTTCGGTAAAGTCACGTAGAAGGGAAACAATAACATAATAAAAATATAAAACAATAAAATTCTCACGACGTTTCTTGCTGTGGTTTTCACGCCTGATGATGATTGCTTGTGTTGCAGTCGAAACGTCGTGAGAATTTTATTGTTTTATATTTGTATTATGTTATTGTTTCCCTTCTACGTGACTTTACCGAAAGAACCAAGAATATGAATCCCTGCAGTCACGAAAGCTTTAAATCAAAATTTATTTGGCTGCTATACATGTCCACGTGATAAGAGGCCACTTTGCTGAACTATCGTTTGTGATGGCCAGGTCGCTTCTGATAAAGAGCTATACAGCTCAGTGGGCCTTACCTGATAAAATAAAAAAAAATATTTCATAGTTATTTTCTTTTATAATAGACTGGTATCTTGTGAGTTGCTTGAAAATAACCATGATATCACTGATAATTATAAGACACCTCCAACACTCCTAAAACATTCAGCAGTTATTGTGCATTTAAAAGTTGAGAAAAACTCACCATGCTGTGTTTATTACGTCCAGCTACGTCCAAATTGCACATTCGGAATAAAACACAATGCGCGTGCCGGGTCAACGCTCTGCAGCCGAGCCATTGGCAAGGAGGGTCGGTGTGGGCTTCATTTCACCACAGCCGCCACATCATCGCAGTCGTGCGCACGGGGGGCATGAGCGGCCCACAGACGCCCTCTGCTCTCTACTGCTCTCTGCTGCTGCCCTCGTGAAACAACCAGCGACGTCAACAATGGCAAAAGATAAACCGTTACGCGTCGGTTGTCCTCGTCCAAATGACGATCGCAGACCATATGAATTGCGGCAAATAAAAACATTTGCCACATGACTACAGTTTCCCATGTCGCATTCAAAACAAAACTAGATATAGAACAAAAAAATGCACAGCATTGGGCATCTATCTGGTGACTTAAAAATGATCAATAAACCCAATAAAGCTGACACGAACTCGACATTAACATTGCCCTATTTTGCTCCGCATCACACAAAACCAACCTGCGTGTTTATCTTCGCAAACCTTAACGCTCTCGTCTAGTTTTAACAAGTATTTCATAACAAAGCTTATTAGAGTCGTACAATCTGCATTATACAGAACCTCAGAGTTTAGCGCTGACCCCCACTTTAATTATCACCAGACTGGGACTAACCAATAACACATCTCAGTTGGCTTTTCACCAAGTCATCCGTTATTAAAGCATTGCAATTATATGGCGGAATTTCGCCAGGTGAATGAAACAAGGCAAAGACCGCGCGAGAGCTTGTTCGGGTACGAGCTCCATCAACCTCACCGTGCACGTGTCCACCGGGGAACTAGCACCACACACAGAGTGTCACGTTTAGCCCAAACTATCCACACATTACTCGGTTGGAATTGTACACAGCAGCAGCAGCAGCGGCAGCAAACATCGCCCATAGCGGCAGACTCATGCCCCAGGTCACTTCATCACCCCGGTCTCTTTTGTTCTCACCGGGTTAAGCAGCTGTTCACCACTATCTCGACTGCGATTGTTTGAACATTTTTGTTGTTGTTCCATATTGTTTAATATCTCTCAAGTAGTTGCTTTTATTTTCCCAAACACGATATTCACGTAAGTAACATTCTATATCCATAATATTTTTTTGGGTTAGATCGCGTAAATATATAAATGTGTCGTTCAAACCCGCCACCACCCGAAACAGCCAACTAGTAAGGGTTGTCACGTAAACAGAACGTGCCAATTCATGACGAGTAAATCACTAACCGGTGTGTTGTAGAGCCAAACCACAACATTTACAATCTGAGTACGATGATATTGGTCGCGAAAGCCAACGTGTTAAACTGCCATCTCTATGTTTTATTTAAATGATTGATCATGATAGCTTTTTGAACACCCTGTATATTATCTGATGTTCAAACTGGTTTGACTGCTACGGGCACTGTTTTCAGTCTGTGTGCAAGGTGGCCCAGGCACTAGCCCATCAGTGCGTGGACACGTGGTGGGGGGGGGGGAGTGCCTGAAATCCTTCGGAAGCCTCTTCCTGAAATGTTGGTAAATAATTGACTACGTGCGTGCTCCCCGTCTCGGTAGGTAGAGACACTGTAAACAACTGCGACAATTAAGGGTGCTATAAAACAACTGGCAAAGAAACAAGTCTGGAATGCCGTTTTTTGTTTTTCTGCCCCCCCCCCGTCCCCCCCTCCTGCTTTGATGCCCTGCGTTATAAACGGGGAATTGGCATTCGGAAAATCTCTCCCCAGCTCCCAGCCGTGTTGTATTTGTAGCAATAATATCAGAGCCAATAACAAACACGTGCGACACTGCCGGTACAAAGCGAATGCCAAATTCTTCAGGACTTAAAAGGTCACGACCCCCGCGCCCCCCCTCCGCCTCCTCCCGTTCTTCACCGGACATGATGGATTCTCCTTTAACTCGCCATGTAACTATTTGTCTCTGACGAATGTGTCTGGTTCCCAGCTGCGAGCAGACATGTAAATCACTCCGGTCTGACAGGACTTCGTGGGCGATAGCATCTTCTGGATCCGGGCCGGGATGCTCCTCAGACGGAATTCTCTCACAGCACAAAAGGAATTGCCCCAGTAAAGTGATTTTTGGGTTTTGCGCCCGCGAGCCCCAGAGAGCATTTCCAATTGCAGCAATTGAGGAGCACAGCATCGGCGGGCAACTGCCACTAAGTATCACCGCATTTGACCCTGTGCGAGATGCTTCAATGCATTTGACGAATGGATAATCGGGAGCATTAGCACTCTCTTTCCTTCGCGGTCTAGTTATCAGAGGGGGAAAAGAGAGTCAGACCAGCGAGATTAAAGAAACTTGACTGCCCTTAAGTTAAGGTAGCATCTGCACCGTAGTAATGTTCAGACTGTAAAAGTTTGAATGTTGTAAATGCTGGCTCGGGTTTTCAAAAGACAAATCCCAATGTAATTTACCGAGTATCATATTGTGCATATGCCTTCTTGAAATGCTATTGCACTAAAATTACGTCTTTAAATGCTATTATGCTCACAACTATATCACAGCAGTTTACTTCATAATTCACATTATACGTCGTCTTTTGCCAATCAGTTGTCAGTAAAGCATTGGCAATGTGATGAGACAAGCATCAAAATCCCAACTTTAAATACAACCATCACTGTTTAAACAACAGCAAAAAACATTCGACTGACCAACAGCGTGGCCAATGCAACAACTCCTAATTGCCCAATCCACCGGCCCGTCAATTTAGAATTCAGTGCTTGCACTCTGAATTTAATAGTTTTTGCTACTTTAAATAACTTCTCGAAAAATGATCCAGCACTGACAGGGGGTGACGCTGTGGATTTGCTCCTCGTCGGAGCTCTACCCACAGCATTGTCTGAGCGATGCCTAATCCTCCATTGTCGGCCACTTGGAAGCGACTGCCGAGGAATTAACCTCTCCTTCGGCCCCGTTGAGACAGATATCTGAGAAACAAAATCTGGAGGCGCGCACGCGCTCAGAATCTACGTTCAAGACACCAGTGGAGCAGAGGTCAAGATAGCAGGGGGGTGGCAAAGAGGCATTTTCTCCCCCCCAAGGATATAAAGTCGTGGGCGCGGAGTGGCAAGCTGCTCACTTTCACAAAGCTGGTGGGCGAGGGAGCAGCAGCAGCAGCAGCAGCCACTGTGTTACGCAGGGCGGGTGGGCGGGGGGCCCTCTGGTGAATTGTCTGCGTGGTGTCTGGCACCGCGATGGCGACGCAAGCCGGAGGAGCGAGCAGGACCTCCCTTCTGCTCTTGGCCCTGGCTTTCGTGCCACGTCAAGGTTTCGGGGCCACCCTGCCGACCGATAAGCCACGCTACCACGTCGGGGTGTGCCCCAACGACCTCAACCCTAACCTGTGGGTGGACGCCCAGAGCACCTGCGAAAAGGAGTGTGGCGGTGACCAGGTATTTGCAGACGTCTCACCGTGCTTCCCGGCAATTACGTTGAAGGTGTGCTTGACACCACGCAGCAAAATGTTTGCATTGCCATTTATTTAAACGAATAATGACTTGTGTGCATCTACATTAAAGGGTTTTTTTTCTTTCCCCGAGCTAACAGGTCAAAAAATAATCTATGTGATTCGTATATTTTTTTGTACCATAATTGGAAAATTTACTTACACGAGTGTTTGAATAAAGTTAAATTGGGATGCTTTTACCATGTCATACGGATGTGCAACCCAGCCGCACAATAACCTACATCTTTCACCATATAAATCAATGGTGCTTCACCTGGGGTGCACGCACCCTCTGGGGGTGCGAGACATGGCCAGATTATTTTAGAAGGTAAATCACCGAAACACAAATTAAGCATGGAGCAAGTAAGCACAACTACTTCGTTTCACCAAATCTCTGTATTTATTAACAGTATGAATGTTTTAGCGACTGAGAACCAAAGGGGTGCAAGACCGCTAGTAAAAGGCCAAGAACGACTGTTCCAAACACCACCGCAGCATACACCATCGTTTCCAATGTCCCTCGTGCGTTTCATCCCTGTCACATGTTGCTTCCGTTTGGAGGACTGCACCGCCTTCGAGAAGTGCTGCCTCAATGTGTGCGGCTCCAAGAGCTGCGTGGCCGCCCGCTTCGCCGAAAGCAAGAAGCGCCCGGCCGGCTCGCCGGGCGGCCGCGACGCCGCCGCCGGGGCCAAGGCCGCGGCGAGCTGCGCCGGCTTCGCGTGCCAGCAGCAGGGCGCCGAGTGCGAGCTGTGGGACGGCAAACCGGCCTGCCGCTGCCGCGACCGCTGCGAGAAGGAGCCCGACTTCACCTGTGCCTCCGACGGCCTCATCTACTACAACCGCTGCTACATGGACGCCGAGGCGTGCGTCAAGGGCGTCGCCCTGGGGGTGGTCACCTGCAAGTACCACGTGGCGCCGCCGCCGCGTCCCAGCGAGCCGCCGTCCGAGACCGCCGCGCCGCCCACCGTTCGGCACCCGCCGCTCACGCCGCCCGGCGACGCCGTGCCGCCGGCCCTGCTGTCGAACCCCTACCCGCAGGAGGTCGCCCTGGGCGGCACCGTCAGCTTCCGGTGCGACGTCGGCGGGCGGCCACAGCCCGACGTCACCTGGGAGAAGCGGAGCGACGGGCGCGACAACCTCATCATGCGCCCCGACCAGATGTACGGGAACGTGGTGGTGACCAACATCGGGCAGCTGGTCATTTACAGCGCCGAGGAGCACGACGCCGGCATCTACACGTGCACGGCGAGCAACGCGGCGGGCCTCCTGCGCGCCAACTTCCCCTTGTCGGTCGTGACGCACGACCGGCCCAGGCAGCCGCCCCCCGACGGAGCCATCGCGGAGTTCCCGGCGAGCGAGTGCCACGAGCCGCCCGACGTGACGCACTGCGGGTCGGCCCGCACCAAGTGGTACTACGACAGCGGCCTGAACGCGTGCGACACCTTCGTGTACGGCGGCTGCGACAGCAACAGGAACCGTTTCGACACCTACGAAGGCTGCAAACGGTGGTGCCAGAACCAGACCGTCAACATCTGCCACTTGCCGCCCGTGCAGGGCCCGTGCCGGGACTGGGAGCGCCACTGGGCCTACAACCCCCTCATCAAGCAGTGCCAGTTGCTCGTCTACGGCGGCTGCGAGGGAAACGAAAACAACTTTGAGAGCCGGGAGGCCTGCGAAGACAACTGCCCCTTCCCGACCAAGGCGGCGCTGTGCAAGAGCTGCAAGCCGAGGCAGAAGATCGTGCCCAGCTTCTGCAAGAGCGACTTCGCCATCGTCGGCAGAATGACCGAGCTGGTCGAGGAGCCGGACTCGGGCTACGCCCGATTCACCGTGGACGAGGTGCTCAAGGACGACAAAATGGGCCTGAAGCTCTTCAACACCAAGCACATGGAGGTGACCCTGGCCAACGTGGACTGGAGCTGCCCGTGCCCCAACATGACGGCGTCCGACGGCGCCCTGCTCGTCATGGGCGAGGTGCAAGACGGCATGGCCGTGCTGCACCCCCACAGCTTCGTGAGGACGGCGAGTGAGAGGCGCGTCCGCAAGGTGTTCGAGACCATCGAAAAGAAGACGTGCGACCTGATGAGGCGGTTCCATGACTAAGAGACGCACGCGCGTCATATCTCGCCTGCCTTTTATGCGCAACGCCTGATAAATCGCTTCCGCAATGGCTTTAGGTGTACGAGCGGAGATGCTCTTAGCGATGCATATAAAGTATACGTAAACTAAATAGACGAACGATTTTTGTCGCGTTGCTTTGCCTGGTGAAATTTACAAATTCATGTGGCATGACAGCCGTTTGATTGAATTGCCACAACAGTCCACCGTGGCATTTCTTTTTCATTAACAACTGCCAGCAAACACGTAATTTATTGATAGTGTTTGCAACGTAAAATGTGCAACGCTTGCACCGGAGGTTTTTTTTTTCGTGCGTGTCGCTGCGTAACCGATGTGCACGCATTGTGCTGTTGTCGCTTTGTTCCGTAGGTGTGCGCACGTTCGTCCGTGCAGTGCACGACATGCCGATCGCAGCCCTGGTACAGGAAAACAACCTTTCATATGGAGATGATTAAAGACGCCACATCTGGTATTGATTTACAATAAGTGCATTGAAAAAAAATGGCAAAATATTAGCAAGTGCAGCTAGCCCGTATTTGTATATTGGTATAGCAAATAAAAGCTTTGATGTTCAACGCACTGCATTCGCTTTATTGCTGTAGTATTGCAGGAACGTGTGTGTTTATGTACGTTAAACTTCTTTCACACCGTACGTAGCCAACCGTGCTAATTGGAGGTGCGGAACAACTCGTCGGGATGCACTCAACTTTCGGGATGCACTCAACTTTCAAAAGTGCTTCATGGGACACATCTGGTCCACCAAAAAAAGGTAGCTGTGAGTTTACTAGAAAAAAAAATTGCTACATCTTCCCAAACTGAGAATATAACTGCGTTCAAATACAATAAAAGGCCTGGACAATTGCTCTAAAAAAATGTTTATCCGTACTATATTTTATCAATTGTTAAAAAATTATCATAACAGTGTTTTTTTGTTATGGCTACGGCTGCACATGAGATTGCAGGTGCCTTGACATCCACATTACACCACCTGCTGGACTTTGTAATTCGCCGTAAAGGTGACGCCTCGTTACAGTAATTGAGTTGTCGTCGACGCCTTTGCAAAAGTGATCCAAGGTGTGCTCACCACCAAGGTGTGCTCACCATCAAGGTGTGCTCACCACCACCATCAAGGTGTGCTCACCATCAAGGTGTGCTCACCACCACCACCAAGGTGTGCTCACCATCAAGGTGTGTTCACCATCAAGGTGTGCTCACCACCAAGGTGTGCTCACCACCAAGGTGTGCTCACCACCACCATCAAGGTGTGCTCACCATCAAGGTGTGCTCACCACCACCATCAAGGGGTGCTCACCACCATCAAGGTGTGTTCACCATCAAGGTGTGCTCACCACCAAGGTGTGCTCACCACCAAGGTGTGCTCACCACCACCAAGGTGTGCTCACCACCAAGGTGTGCTCACCACCAAGGTGTGCTCACCATCAAGGTGTGCTCACCACCAAGGTGTGCTCACCATCAAGGTGTGCTCACCATCAAGGTGTGCTCACCATCAAGGTGTGCTCACCATCAAGGTGTGCTCACCATCAAGGTGTGCTCACCATCAAGGTGTGCTCACCATCAAGGTGTGCTCACCATCAAGGTGTGCTCACCACCAAGGTGTGCTCACCACCATCAAGGTGTGCTCACCACCAAGGTGTGCTCACCACCAAGGTGTGCTCACCACCAAGGTGTGCTCACCACCACCAAGGTGTGCTCACCACCAAGGCTCACCACCAAGGTGTGCTCACCACCAAGGTGTGCTCACCACCACCAAGGGGTGCTCACCACCATCAAGGTGTGCTCACCATCAAGACAGACAATCTGAGTCGCATTTGGAAAAGGAACTTCGGCCTCAATGCAGAAGCTATTGCCGCAAGGTAAGGAAGCACACACATGCCAATGATAACCGTCACACCGCACAGCGTTCGCTCCTGGCCCTCGTAGCGGGAGCACCAACGGCAACAATTGCTCAAGCCCTGCGGTCCTGGTCATATATGAAGATATTTTCAGCCAATTCATACGTTATTACACCTTGGAGAAAACCCACACGTGCCACGGGGCGATGATCTATCCCATCGAGAGGGAGCAGGTGAAATCCACGGCGTTCGGCTGTACTGCCGTCTCCTGGCATCCCACCGTATGTAGCGAAGACGCCCACGAGGGAAGGGAGTTTCACAACATCTGTGTGATCCACCAATCCTCGCTGTCTCCGCTGTGCAGGATTACAGGCGTGCGCCACCCACATAAGCAACCAACACACAATGTGTTTTATGTATGTAGAAAAAATAGTAAAAATAAAATCAGACTGGCATACCTCAGTCACCTTAATCTTGTCACTAAATAATTCAGCAGACAATAAATCCCCTTCACATAGCTGTCCTCCTACGTAAAAAATATACACATATTTATTTTTACAACCATAACCCAAAACCTTAAAAATAAAACAAATTTTCGTTACATATCTCATCATCTACACGGCTTTCTAGGGAGGGATGCATAATATCAGCAGCATTGGTTATTTGTGTTGAACGTGATCTCCCTAACAACGACACTGACCGATGATTTCGTGCCAATCATATTCGTACTTGATGTATACCAGCTTATGTATAAAAGGATAGCCGAGCATTTTGATCCACTACGTCTTAGAATGGTAAATATATTATCTACGGTATTTGCCGGGGCTTATCTCACAAATTCATCAGGCGGACGGTCACACTTTCCACAAATTTGACATGTGAGTATCTTAAGTGTCTCTAAAATTCTTGGATGCCCGGGTTTAATCAAAGTCAAGATTTCATCCAGAGATTTAAAAATATATTTGACATTTAATCATCAGAATGTCAGCCTCAATATGATTAGGTCAGCTAGGTCAAACCTCAAGGTCAGACTAACAACTGACCATATAAATCCTCGGAAGAGTCAGCACATATTGATGGGTATATAGGAAAATACATTTGCACTCAAAAGCACCGTATCTATCTTGCTTCACGATACACGGTAAAATTCCCGTCTTGAAAAATAATGCACTATGAACCCCGTGACATGGCTTTGATTCCTCACCATGGCTCAAATGAGTGTAGAATAACATCCGAGCCAGTCCTGACCCCCATCTTCAGCTATCCGCACTGAGTAGCGTGGTGAAGCAGTCAAATATCCCCGGTCACCAATTGCCTGTGGATGCCCTCGTTGGGCAGCGGGCTGTTAAACAATGAACTTTCTCCAAGCGTTTGACTTCATGAAGCATCAACATTTACCAAAACATGCCGGCGTAGTGCCCCTTCATTTGACCTTTGTGGTTTTGACAACGGTGGAAGCTCCTTAACCCTCCATTTGTGAAGGGGGCTGATAAAGTTGCAGTTCAGTGGCATTGCAATTATTATTCATAATAAAGTTTTCTTTTTGGGTTAGATCGCGTCGATATAAATGTGTCGTTAGCCCACCACCACCCGACACAGCCAATTAGTGTCAAATAGTTAATAGTAACCAATTGGCACGTGCCGAACCTTATTGGTCACGTTTTGTTCACGTGGCAAACCTGAGTTACTAGTAACCAATTGGCACGTTTTGTTTACGTGACAATCCTTACTAACTGGCTGTGCCGGGTGGTGGTGGTGGTGGGCAAACGAACCCCCCAAAAAAACCTTTATCACGAAAAATATGAGTCGCGAAAGCCGACTCCGACTGCGTGTTCAACTTGTCAGTTGGCATTTGGGTGCTAGCGCTTTGGCCAGTGGGCAGTCTGGAGTGCTTGAGGGGCCACTGCCTATAAAAAGGGAATCGTTGCGAGGCCAGCGAGCACCCTCTTGTGGTTAGCTGCGGTGGCTCAAATTAGTTTTGTCACAATGGCCAAGAAAACATGTACAGTACAGGGATCTGCACATTCTACTGCTTGCTGCACTCCAACGCAATATATACACACACACATGTATATCAATCAACACTCGTTGCGCAATCGTTTTAAGCAACAGTTTTAAAACGAGAAACGTTAGGTGGCTGGGTGGCTCAGAGATCTGAGCGCTGAGCTGGTAACTACTGAGGGCCTGGGTTAAAATCCAGGCAGCTAATTCTAAATTTAAAGCTTTCGTGACTGCTAGGATCCATACTCTTTGGTTCTATTGGTTCTATTGGGTAAAGTCACGTGACAAAGAGTATGGGTCCAGGCAGCTAGATTCTGGTTAAACCTGGTCCAGTGAGCTGATAGTCTCTGGCCTGTCACCAATCAATGACTGGGCGCGCGCAACAACAACAAAAAAACCCCAATCGCTTAAAATATTGCTTCTGCACTTAATTTGGCTGAATTGCAACTCTGAAAATGTAAACGTTGGTTTCGTCTGTCGTGTGGAAAAAAAGAAACCTCGCCTTCATACGCAGCAGATGAGAAGTGCTGCCCTCTACTGAGTGTGAACAGAGGTCACCCGAACGGATCGCAGAGGTCGCCACTGGGATGTCCGCTTCTGTGCGCCGTTCTCTAAACAGCAAAGGGATTCAAAACTCAACTCCCGTGCGGTGATTGCTGATCGCAGGATCTCGCTACATTTTTGGGGGGTAAAAATCAGGTGATAGGCAGCAGTAAACATTGAGGCGTGTGTGTGCTGACTGGCTTGTGTTTATTAAGCCTGCAGAGCGCTTTCGGAAGCTGGTCGCGCATTCACATTGAGGACCGCCAATAATATACACTGCTTTATAATGGTTCAAACGCAATACTGTATCATTGTTGATTAATTATATAGGTAACTTTATAATTAAAGCCATATCGTCACTACGTATACTACATATATCACCTGTTATGTGGCAAATTTTGAAATGGATTTCGCTCGTTTTAACGTGGATTTACCTTTGCAATATTTGCATTACGTATATTTATTTACAATAAAAATTAACTAAAATAACCAAAAGGAAATAACTAACAGAAGCTTTAGGCATTAGGAATAGATGCTGGTAAAACAATCAAGGAATACAATTTACACTTGGGGGGGGGGAGGGGGTGGTGAGAGGGCAGAATCACACCAGCTGTTTGCCCCCATCAAATGTAACCTGTCCCTGGGTAAACATCTACCGCATACATAGTGTACGCATACATAGTGTTGATACTGAATGTACTCGGTGTATACACATGACTTGGAATGGCATGCATAACACATTGACAGAGTCTCCCTTGGTGACTAAAACCACTTATAAGCAGCCTGTGCAGGAGGACAAAATTTGCCTTACATCACCCGAGAAGTTCACAGACGCTGACTCCCATCAGCTGCCGTTCTTCAGTCGCCACTTCATAGCTCACCAGAAGCTCAAGCTAAGCACAATGCTGTACGCATTGAGATACACGCTGTGCGGCAAAAGACGTGGGTGCTAAGTCCCCATACCCGTGTCTGAAAAAGGCCCCACTGAAATCAGATAAGTGGAGGAACGCAGGGACTTACCACCCACCTTGAACATTCCCTGCCCACCTTGAACAATCCCTGCTCACCTTGTGCATTCCCTGCCCACTTTGAACATTCCCTGCCCACCTTGAACATTCCCTGCCCACCTTGAACATTCCCTACCCACCTTGAACATTCCCTACCCACCTTGAACATTCCCTGCCCACCTTGAACATTCCCTGCCCACCTTGAACATTCCCTGCCCACCTTGAACATTCCCTGCCCAGGATAATCTGAAATGCACCGCGAAAAGGGAACATACCCAGAGATCATTGCCGCTAACAGGAAATTGCATTGCGACTGAGACGCCAGCAAAATGACAACGACACTCAGTACGTCACGCCACGCACACCTCCACGTTGAGCCATAACGCTGTGTGCACAAGAAGATGCAACTTATTCTTAGTTTTTTCGGTAAAGTCACGTTGAAGAGAAACAACAAAATAACAAAATATATATAAAACAATAAAAAATTCTCACGACGTTTCGACCATAACTCAAACGGTCATCATCAGGTGTGTCGGTTTGCATAAATTTATTTTGAAAACGGCATATTTATTTATATATATAAAAATAACGTTTGCGTCACGCGCAACG